AAGCCTGGCCCGCTCGAGGTTGGCCCAGAATTCGGGACGCTTGCCGGTCCGGCATCAAGACGAGATCTGATTGGTCAACAATTTGGACCCAACAGCCAATCATGACCCAGTATTGGCTAAATGCCGGTCGCCAATGGCGCATCCAGAACCGGAAAGAAATTCCAGTTTATAACCGCTTGCGCTATATATAGGAAGCGGCGTACAACTGTTCTTGACTTCGTTTTGGACATTAATATTGTGCACCTTGGCGCATCCAGAACGCGTCGGAAATTCCAGTTTATAACCGCTTGCGCTATATATAGGAAGCGGCGTACAACTGTTCTTGACTTCGTTTTGGACATTAATAGATCTTGTGCACCTTTGGTGGTTGTTTTGATGTGAACGCTAGCCTGGGAGGCTCGGATCGAGACCTAAGCTGAGGAAAACACCGTTACTACAAGGTTCCGGTCTCTTCTTGCCATAGTCCGTACGTACCGAATCCAATCCATCTGGACCACCTGATTGAATCTCAGAAGCGCTAGGCTCGTCCACTTGTACATTCATATTTCCATCAACCACAGCTATATCTGAGCTCCCGACCACCGAATCAGGGCATTCCGGGCGTCATAAAACTTCTTTGATGGCTTAGGAGCTCCAACAGGACACTGCAAACAGACAGCGATCGAATCCCCACTTGCGCGTTGCCAGACGAACCGCGCAGAGGTGGCTACCAACATGGATCCAAGCAAGCAAGGATCCTTCCGTTCGGTGACTGGTTCCAAACACCTCACACCTTGCCGCAGTGGCTTGTAGGTACCTAACCGTAAACGAGTGGAGAGTGATAGAGCAGTTATCTCAGCCACTGTGCTTGCATCTTGAATTATTATTCCTGGTACTCAGCTCGCATCAGTGTCAAGCGATTCCAGTTTGGGAGCAAGAGCAGCATGTTAACCTGCTTGTTTTGAGGTACGGACGTTGAAGGCGACCAGATAGACTGGTGGCGATACTGGAAGATTGATTTCGGGATGCCCTAAGGAAGTCAGCGCCGGATGACGCGTGCATGTTGCTGCTAAAGTTGACGCAGGACGAAGAGTATTATCAGTCCTAACTGACAGGCCTACAAGAGGAGAGATATTGATGGATTGCGGAGAGGAGGAACAAAACGTGTTTGAAAGAGAAAGAAGGAAGACATCAGTAGTAGCCTGTTTTGCTTACCCACCCTGCTGTATGCAGCAAGTAAGGTGACCCAGCTGATGGCACCACGCGATATTGGTTGACATGATATTCTTTGTAAGTGTGAAATTCACGGTTGCACATGTCACCGGTGGCAGTGAGACTGGTACCTGGTAAACTGTGGTACATTTATGTATACTTTTCGTGTTCTACGTCCGATTTTACTGTGGTATTCGCTGCCCGTGATCATACTCGTACGCATTCACATACTCTACTGAATTACTGGTTGAAGGAACGAATTTTCTGAATAGCGAAATGCCGCAGTTGATTAAGGCTAAAAGCTGAGATGTATACATTTAGTCTAAGGACGGTGATTCAGCAGCCGAATGACAATTGAAAGATGACATAAAGGTTGTTGCGATAGAAAATGTTCCAACAGCCGGCAAGGAGGGTGCCCTTACAGCGATTACCGATTCGGAACTCATCTTGACTCATCGCATATTTCCCTTTTCTATTTGTCCAACCAACGCGCAGCCCTAACGAAAGTCGAGTGTATTTGGCTTGGAATCTCGTTACCGTGTGATTATTGCGGTATTACCTTAAGGTACATCACTCCCACCAGCAGAGTGAGAAAAAATGTTCGTTTTGTCTTACTTTTTGTTTACATAGAAGACAGTTTTTTTCTTCGTACTCATAATGTAAGTTATGGAACAGAATGCCTGTCTTTAGAAGCTGCAGCTGTGTGGAGAACGTTCAAATGCCTTTATTATGTGAATTTAGATTATTACTATGCTTGAATTGTCCTTGTAGGCACCATGGAGTGGAAAAATTCTGTCACAGTTAAGCTGACATCATGAAAATCATTGTTTGTGATAACTGATCGTCTCATTAGATGGAGGATGAGCTTCATCACTGGGATTTTGGTTGGGAGTTCTGAAGATCAGGGGAGTAAACACGTGATTAGTGCCACAATAGCTGACAACTACCGTTTATGGTAGGAGGATGCTTGGGCGCAATCGCTAACAATCAGTTACACCTTGTCCCACAGAGACGAATGACTTTTAGCATTAGGATAACAATATCAGGTTCACTGGTTTCAGGGACTGAGAAAGACCGCTTTCATACGCCTTGAAGTGTATGAACGGAGAGGCTAGATTCATATTTGCGATTCTTACTTTCACCTAGATGTGACGGACTCAAACAAAGAGGATGCGGGCCCTGGAAGATGATGTATGAAGTATTCGAAATATGGGATGAATCCTGTCCGCCTTTGTCTATAAAAAGGCAAACATCGTAAGCCCAGGCCTACCTACAGCGCCAATGACTTATTAAAAGTGTGTTTCCTGCGTTCAAGCTCAGCCAGAATATAGAAATCAGGCCGTATGACACGCATCAAGGGACAATACATGCGCAAATTAGTTTTGTCCCTCAAGTATCTGGTTGTCATGAGTCTTCTAAAGTGTACTGCGTGCAAATAACTGGCTGTATTTTGCTTGTTCTAATCACGTGAACACCAGTGGTTCATTTGTACACTATGGTGGGAATGAATGAGGACAGATTCCCTAATTTGATTCCTAAGACTAAGTCGATACGATTAGATAAAGGTTTCCCGGAACACACATCGTTCATATATTATTTTACACTGTCACTTTATAATTAGGATGTCCCTTGATAGGTGGGTTATTCGGTCTTTGGTGTACGTGTCTTTCACAGTAAAAGAAAAGTAAACCGAAGCATCCCGCTCGCTTTTTTGGAGAAAGTACACAGACAAAAACACTAGTAATGGAATTCAAGAATTTCCAACCCACTACTCGTTATGCCATACAGATTTTAGTATCCTACTGAATGTAACCTCACTTTCATTCCTTTTTAGTGTATTCTCAATGTTTACACCGTCTCCGTCCGAGTTACATGACATTCCAGTACTGGGTCTAGGAACTTGGCGAGTGAGTGTCATAAGCTCTGCTCAACAACCCCAGTCTTCCCGCACAGCTGTTGGAGACGCAGTTTCTGTTGCTCTCGCAACTGGGTACCGGCACATTGACTGTGCTTATTTGTATGGAAACGAAAAAGAGATAGGTAATGCGTTAAGATCATCCATGGAGCACCTGGGTTTGAGGCGCGACGAGATGTTTATTGTATCGAAGGTAAACTGATGATTGCAGAAGTCCTTCTGATTTTTCAGCTATGGTGCACATATTTCCGTCCTGAGCTGGTAGAAAAATGTTGTGAACAAAGTTTAAGCGATCTTGGTCTAGATTATATTGATTTGTACTTGATGCACTCACCCATGGCGTTTCAGGTATGTGCTCTAATCGTTTTAGCGTGTATCAGCAGCCTGGTGCGAGCCTATTTCCCGTGGGACCAGATGGAGTAACCATTGCCATAGATGAGGTCCCTCTTACTGATACCTGGGAAGTAAGTCTGAGAGATTTTAATCTAAACATCTTTGAATCGTACCATTAGGACGCTAAGTACCATGTTAGCACGCCAACAGCCATTACTATCTGTATTCTTGATTTTTTTATTATTATGGCCACAGGTTTCTCGCACCAAGTGACCTAGAAGAACGCTGACCACACAAGCTAGTCTTCTTTTCCTTTCATACTATAACCAGGGGTGAAAGGATAGAGGATGGTTCCCGTGCCCTTACGAGGCGGCTCCATCTTTGGCTACTAACGAACGGTCCGCGTCCCTTTCTAGCTTGGAATTGTTCATTGTGCGCGATCGCGGCCGCATCCTGTGAAACAGATGACTCAAAGGAAGCTCTCAATCATTACTAGGGCTCAACGGCGTGTGTGAGCACGTATTCCATTTCAGTGGGCGGGTATACAAGTTTCTTTTGCTGCCGTGAGGGCAGGTAAAGGCTGAAGGTATACCCTCGGATAAGGCTGAGTAGTATAGGGGACGCTGCTTCAACTCAACTCTGTAGTAATCACGGAACTATAGCCTATCTCCACAGAAGTTGTCCGCAGTACGAAGGGCGGTATTCAGAAAAATTAGTTCCAACCTACCATGCTCCTACTGGGCATTTATCGACTGTTTTTTTTGTGATTCTAAATCCTCACTAAGGAACTTCACTGGAAGATGCTTGATACAAAAGCCAAGCACTTGAACGTACCAACAGGAGGGTATGGAAAATGGACTGGTTTTACAACAATACAGAATCACATAATCTGATAGTCTAGGGACCGTTAACTGTGACGCTTGTTTACCTGATCATCACCTCAATGGGGCAGCTCTGAGTGAATAACATTAGGAAATGTGGTTCGTGAAGCTTCCTATCAGTTTGCCGGCCATTCCGAATTGCTGGTGCGTTTCCACATGACATGTACTCCAGCGGTTGTGGGAAGGAAGACCATTCACGGTCTTTGGACTATCCTCGAATGTCGTGCCAACTGAATCATGAGGCGTCTGTTTTGCAGCAATTCAGTTTTATAAACGAGAGAACCAGTTGAGTCTCTCATGGAAACCAAATTGATTAGCAAATGAGTGTGTTTCCCGAGTTAAGGTTTCTTTTAAGACCACCAGTTTTACAGAACGAGTCTTCGAATGTACATGAGACGGAGTATTTTTCGTTAGTCTTAGGCGGTTGTGGAAGCAATCGTAACGCGTCTGCGCCGTATTTCGGATGTCTAGGTTTCAAATCCAGGCGAAGAATGTGCACTGCTAATGAGCTCTAGGGATCCATATAGCTCCGTGGTTAAGGTACCAGCAACCCAACTCAAGTGCTCGGAGTAGCGGTCCCCATGGGACGTACTGGTGGTTGATCAAGCGACCTTTGGTCTGTTCGGCGAGCTTGGTAGTTATTTTGCAAGCGTTTCCGGTCGATAAAATACCATCAAAGTGCAATTATCTGCTTACAGCTATATAGTTTCCAAAGCGTTACTGATATACTTTCATGTGTTTGGTTCCTCGATACCAGCATCTAGGAAGAATTGTGTCTTACTTCGTTCAAATTCGTCTGGTTTATAAGTTCGAGAATTGCCGTGGTTGGGATGAGACCCTCCTCATTCAGTTCTCTTTTCTTCCATCAACCACTAAATTGTACGCCACACCGATACGTTTGAAGATCTGAAGTTTGCGAGGCTTTGGGAACCAAGAGTGGTGGGAAGATCCGGAGACAGACTGTCCAGCGGAAGCAAATTTCATTAGGGATGGCTGCGCGGTAACAGGTAGACATCACGGCCAAAAGACAAGCAAAGGTAGATAGGGGCTGGTCCTGTCGAATGCCTTCGACAAAGCAAAAGAAGTCACATTGTGACGATGTGGGTTTTTGCGACCTATCTGTCAGAGTGGCGATGAGGCACATAAATTTATTCTGAATACAGTCAAGCAAGAAATGGTAAAACAAGGCACCCTAGCCCAATTTTGACAGGAATGCACCTGATCAAGGCGAATATGAGATTCACGGGGAAGAAATTGGACAGAGCTGGGAAGCCCGCAGAATCAGAATAGAGTTCGATTGAAGTTGATTGAGTGAACCACGGAAAGTTATCGTTGACGGATAGCCCAAGAAGGATGGTGTAGAAATAGTGGGTTCGTTCGAAGGTTGAATGTTAGGTGGGGAGCGGCGGACGAAGGTTGGTACATGAGGGGAATTAGGCCAGATAAGCATTGTTGCAGCCGACGTTCTCTACTCCAAAGTATTGTTCAGTTCAGTGTTCTATGATAAGAATGTTTGGATTGTCACATTGCATTTTAGAGTGGTGTCGTCTGTGGGACGATAGGTGTAGAAAATTACAACAATAAGCCACTGCCGTGAATGCAGGGCATGCAACGTTTCGGGAAGCTCTTACGCTGATCTTCTGGGGCCAGGGGGCAAGGACGCCAGTGTGTATTTGGATAAAACGGCAGCTCATGAAAATTTCAAGTCATTTAGTGAGGTTTGGTGCAGACCGTAAATTTCGAAGAAGAGGCCCTCGAAGAAATCTGCACACCTAACAATCAGATGTCTTGTCTAGTAAACTTGTGTTTCACTGAATAATTCAAGGGGCAAATATTATTCTTGTCACAGAACAAACGTTTGTATTTAAGATTATATTGCCAATCGGTCAGGAGGTCGCCATCCTCAAGATCGCACTGAATTTTTTGGGGGAGGATAGACTCCAAAACTTTGAATTGAGTAAAAGTATTGGAAATCAGCCCATAATTATTGTGGTCGCTCAGGATTGTGTAGTATATCTCAGTACATCAAGGACTAGAGAGATATGCCTGAAAAGCGCAAAAGCATTCTGCTGGTCGATGAAAGTGTCGTACAGTTTGAGAGTGCTACCGTCGGGGTCAGGTGGTGACTTTAGACAACAGAAAATAGGTTGGTGGTGCTAAGTAACTGGCACGGAGTTGGAAGGTGCAATGAAATTGGTCACAGAATTTTGACGGAAATTTGTTTTTCATGGGGAAAGTTTTGAGAATGTCATTAGAACAAATTAGGAGAAACAAAAGTTATGGCTGACTACTCTTGGCCAGATTGATCAGCCTGGGTGTTTCGATAGTTTATCTGCCTTCCGATCAATAGTTGTCTCTAGTGTTGCCGATTGCAACTTTGCAGGATGCGGCCATGGATGAACGGAATGATATAATCCAATCATAAACGACATACATCACTCTGGGGTCGTTTAAGGGTAGCGAAGCATCGGTGTTGAACACTGTGTCATGCTGTCGATGATGATGATGATTATGATCGTCTGACGAACAAGCTTTTCACGAATGAGAGCCAAAAGCTGACGCTTATCTTTCCGGTCAGTAGGATAAAGTCCCGAAAGTACGACCTGAGGAGCGTGTGGATTTTACGAAGAAAATACTGTTTAAGGAAGCGTGGTATAAGAAAGACTTTTGATATCAGATACACAGGGGTAGCGAGATATGGAACAGATAAAGAGGATGGCCGCAGACAGAAACCTTGCTGTTAAACGGAAAAAGCCTGGAACAGTAAATTGTTCGGAAACTTGCGATGCGTCAGGTTACTAACCCTCAAGATCGGTGGTACCGCGTGAACTAATACAAAAGAGGCAGCGGGAGATACAAACTGTTGAACCGATTTAACGTTAGAGAGGATATGTGCGTAGAGTGAAGAGTATACCCATATTTGTTTAATAGGTTATAGCTCAGCATCCCAACTCAGGGCTTTGAAGTGGCGAACTACATAGGATTCCCAATAAGTTAGGCAGCGGCACTTCCCAAAGTGCCACTGCCTGCAATTCTCATCCTGGTTGACGGTTCGTTTCCTTTTCTCGACCTTATCCTATTTGGCTGTTGCCTGAGAAACTGCCCAAATTTTCCACTCTCCATTTTTCCAATCTGCCATCTCTTCGTTTTTCGGAAATCTTGAGAATCCATTCTTTCTTCGTTTCAGGCAATGGAAAACCTGGTGGATGCCGGTCTAGTCAAATCCATCGGACTATCCAACTTTAACAAGCACCAGATATTTCGCATTTTGACCGAGTGTCGCATAAAACCGATCAATTTGCAAATTGAGGCACATGTCAACTTTCCGAATTCGGAGCTTGTGAGTTACGCCCAATCTCTTGGTATCACAGTGACGGCCTACGCACCACTAGGCTCACCCGGTGGATTTCGGTGTGTTTCGCCGTTTTTGTTCATGTTCACTGGTATTCCCTCGCAGTAAACCTCACCACACATGATTATCAGTTTCCTGGTAACTGCTTTCAATCAAATTCAGTATAGTCTCAATCTAACGAATCCGAAGACCCAAGCGAATTTGGTCGTATTGAGAGGTGATTACACTAAGTGGGAAGATGCGTGAAGAATAGGCCATTGCTTGTGTGTGCTATGCACTGTACCTACTGCATTAGTCCGTGGAATTTTTGTTTGATTCTATAGATCGTATAAGAGCCAGTGTAGCTGACGAAACATGCACCGTCGTGTCTACGCCTCGACAGGCAATCACATCAGCAAATTGATGCATGAGTTCCATTGGCCTATGTTCTGTGCCGTGTGCCGAAGCGTCTGTAGCCAAGCACACAAAGACCATACTGTAGAAAGCTGTTAAAGCGTACAGATATTGTTATCTTCAACAATTTTGCCAAGTCCACTTCCCTAGTTTAAGTAAATGAACTCGGTGCGGAATCGTTGGTCAAAATTCATCCGGCGTGATTATTACACAGTTGAATCACTAAAGATTGCACCGGGGGTGCAGTCCCGGATTGAAATACCTGTCGAATCACCAAACAAGTTCGCAAATGCCGGTTTACACCACTTCAATGATCCCCCGCATCATTACTATCTGCTGTTGTGTTTGCTATCTCTTATGTTTGCATAAAACGTAGCCCGACAAAACTGGCCAGTCCACTTTTGGGGCCTCATAGGTACATATCCTTAGTATCAACGGTCGTTTTTTACTCAAAATCAATTCCAGGAGGCGATATGTTTTGCTTTTATATTCCTGCTTTTTCGCCTCTCTTCTGCACTCTAACAGAGGAAGGACAAATCTCCTGAACGAAAAATGGATATCAGATATTGCCGTCAGGAAGGGGAAATCAAGTGCCCAAGTCTTGTTACGATATTTGATTCAGCGTGGTCTCATTGTTATCCCTAAATCGGTCAAACCTGAAAGGATTAAAGAGAATGCTCAGGTGAGCTTAACACTCAGTCTATTGGTCCCAAGTGGTAAGGTAAATGATAAACCTTAATTAAGTCAACTCAGTCTGTGAGCACCTTGTGAGTTCACGTTTCCGTTCAGCCCACTGTATCTTGTGGTTGCGCCTTTTTTAGTCTGCAGTTTGGTCTTGTTTCACCAAGCTTCGTGCCGGTTTGTATTTCCACTTGAACAGCTTCATAATTTTCCCAAAATCTGCCACTGCCCGAATATCATTTCTCATTCCTATGAGATACACACGAAGTAACTGGTTGCATACTGAGGTCGCGCATATTCGGAGCTTTGAATATGTTTTGTGAATAATTCGGTGGGAATCGTACTATGTTGGAGTTAAACTGTGACATTCTTTCAATACTAGATGACCTTAGTCCATGTAGTGGGTGAAATCTTCTCGAAGGGCTTTATCTACAGGAAAAAGGTCTCGGGTCCCTGGGTGAGTAGATTTCAGTGCTGTATCGTGGGTTCAAGGTAACTTAGAGCAACTCAAGCATGATAAAGACATGTTTTAAAAACGGCCTCTCGGGTTCTAGGACATTTTGCGTTATCAGAGAGAAGTGTTGTTACCAAAGAGTAGTGAAAAGTGGGTTTGAGATTCGGAAAGATCCTGAAGGGTTATGTCTTGTTCTTGGCGCCTAGAAAGGGGTGAATTTAGGAGTAGATGACGATATGAGAGAAGCTGACTTGGGGAAACCGGTAGCGAACTGAGCACACTGAGAACACATTGGACCCCAAAGCGGAAGCCGTTTTTCTTCGAATATATTCGATGTTTGCTCAAGTATACGAATACTACTGTCAATGACTTCCAGCAGTCACAAATTTACTGGTAACAAGATATGCAGCTCGAGCCACCTCCATCAGTACGCAGCTTGAGATTATCTACGCGCGAACATAAATCACCTCCCTTTGACCTGTAGACCAAATATGACGCCATCTGTGCCACACAGAAGTCCCGTCCTACCCATTTTAATAGCTGTAAAGCTTATTACTCCTTTGTTTGCCTTTCACTATAACTCCAGCGATAGTCTCTGTTTCCTTCCTTTGGAATCAGTCGAGTGGCAAATTTTTTCATACTTACAGGTATTCGACTTCGAGCTCACTTCTGAAGAGATGAATTTGTTGAACACAATGGGTCTCAATGAACGTCAATTCCGCTTCAAAAAGTAGGTTTCTCTTTTCTGGCTACCTTCTTCTAGTCAGATGCATCATCCGGAATATCCGTTCCACGCTGATCAATGAGTACTCTTCAACCGTCCCAGTGTACAGTCAAATACATTGTTTTACCGATGAATGCTTGATGAATTTCTTCGGTGATCATTGCTTTGATGGTATCCGATTTCGTATTCTAAGTTGGGCGTCGGTTAGGGCAGTCTTGTTGGTCTATAGGTGTAATGTTGTCCGTTCATCTGTCTCGCTGCTCCTTATCTCAGTGGCTGTTGCAGACAGAACGAGAACGGCTAGATTGAATGAGTCCTTTTCCCTATCCTATAACCGGCCAATGGACGCATGGTTCTGAGTTTATAAATAAATGAATAGTTTATATAGCTCAAGGTCCATACACATCATAAACGAAAGGTTCAGTTGAGTATACCGTGGAAACCAAACTGGTGTGCAAATGAGTGCATTTCGTTATTGTGAGCTGTTTTTTCATTCACACTGCACTATTGGAGTTGCAACGTTTTGGCCACATAGTGATACGACTGAAGTTCAATCGATGGTGCAAACTTTTTAAGGGAGTACAATCACTAGATACACGTATAAGACCTGGTAGATCTTGGGAATCGTTCAGCTGTAGCACCCTTTCGATGCCAAACCGTCATACCTCCAGAAGGAAGCACGAGCACTGGGATACTGTCAGGTTGTCCAAGCCTAGACAGGGAGAGTCGAGAGGCAGAGGTTGAGTTCAAACCGCGGACCTTCCGGTCAGTAAATTCGCGCTCTAACGACTGAACTATCTCGGGAATCAGAATCCACTGAAGGTTAGGAAACCGATTCTCATGGAAAATGACTGGAGAATTGTGTATGGGTAATTGGACAGAAATAAATCAGAAATTGGTCCACACAGAGTTACCATTTGGCTTCATCGCCAACCCCAAGAAACCAGATAGGACGAAGGACGGTTTGTATACCCAATCGAAGTTTACTGTGATAAAATAAGTAAGCAAATTAATTTTTGCAATATCTTAGCTTGCGCAACCTGGTGCACGCTCCGAAACTGACTCCAGGTCCAGAAGAGGCCAAGTACTTCTTTTATCCATCGGATCTTTCTTGGGATACCTGTAAAGTACTAAGGGTCAAATTACTCGCCTCGTATACTAATTTCACACTACGGTGGCTATGTTATCACCTTTTGCCTTAAACGAACTGATCTCCAAAACCTTGGCGTCCGCCCACAAGAAAATTCACATTATTCCTTGATTTGCTCTGTATATCACTGTTTGGATCTCGCATTCCCTACCATTAACCCTTGATATTGGTTTATCACAAATACCTTACCGCGATCGATGGTTGTCAAGTTTGGCCGCAGTTTTTATTGCTTGACACTATTTGGACGAGTGCAGCTGGTGCTTTTACGATTCGCACGTAGAACAGTCTTCAAAACTGTATCCGGACAGATCATGCCAAAAGTGTTCTTAGGTTGCGATGCTACTTTCACAAATGGCTTGACAACACGGTACAATTGACATCATCGATTGCATGTCACATCTATACGTGCTCAGAAGACTCATAAGTCTTCCAAAAAATATCGACCGGTGAAGGGATATCTGGGTTAGCGTTTGAATGAGTCATTCTGAGTTGGGGGGCTAGGCGGGCTATGCACCCACATGCCGAGTGTTGAATAGATTGTGCCGTGACATCCTGGCACGAAATAATCCTTTCCTCATCCTGTAAACTCATACGATAACAGCTTTCCTGAACTGTTAAGAACAAACAGTCACCTTTTGTACAAGTCAGAGATGCTCAACACAGGCAGGTGTTTTTCCACCTCCCTGTTTCGGGTGAATTGAAACCGCCTCCTGGTGGTAGCTTCTATGAAGATCGAAAATGTGGAGTGAGTTCGGTAGGCATGTTGAGAAAATTCAGTCCACGTTTGTTGTGCAGCGAGAAAACGTGTTAGATCTGGCTACATTGTTATAGGGTTTTGAGGATCAGTGATATCAGGGGAAATCTCTGGCAGTAACGATAATGAAGGGGCACAGTACATGCTTAATGAGTGTCGTAAGAGTCCGTCTGGAGTATAATAGTGTGTGAACACGAACGACGTCGGTGAAGAGCTGCTGCTAGTAGTGAGCACTGCAAACACCCATTTCACGGATACTACTCAGCTGATTTGTATCAAAAATATGGTCAGTGTTTGTCAAGGTTATAATCTACTGAGTCCTTTACAGAAATTAATGATAAACGCAGATTATTCACTGGTAATCCCATGATTTTTTTAGTTATTCCACAGCTGTTTAAAGCAAAGATCCGAAAGTTAAATTTAACGGCTGTACAAGCCGGTTGGCAAACGCGTGGCTCAATTATGACATTTTGAAACTATGATTCCAACTGTTTGATCTCAACTTTTTGAAATATATATTCACAAAGGATGCATGTACAATGTATAAATCAAGCAAGTAAAGAGTTACGGGGCGTTTTTGCTAATTCTAGGGTGAAAATTACTCTTCCATAATTAGTGCATCATCTCAAAATACTCTGTGACAAAGCCGTAGAATCCACCCTTGAATAACCACAAAAAATGCGGAAGAATTTGCATATTGATTTTTTGTTTGAATGTGTCGATTTGGCGCCATCTAGCAATAAACCATTAGTATTCCTCTTCCAATTGCCTATTTAGTTGTCATTGTTTCGCGACGGTCGATCAGGGAACTGTAGCGCAACATCCAACGATAGAAAGGCTGAAATTAGTTTGATCAACAGCTGATTACAGTAATCGTCGGGCAGACTACGGCGCTAGTTTGAGCGTGCACGTGTGGATGTTACAGGATGCGTACGAATTCGTGTGTATATGATCAGCCGTGCAAAAACCGACATGCCGTAACTGCACTTTGTATACATTGGGGCACACGTGCATCCACGCCGTTCGATGAACAAGTCAGGTCCAAACTGGGTTTTGGAGTGCAAGCCGTTTGGCGTGACAAGGTCAGAGAAATCCTTCAGCGAAATGGTCAGATAAGTTAAACAACCGTATGCGTGTTCGTATCCCCGTAGGGGTGTATAGCCTCTTTTCAGCCTTTACGTGTTGATCTACCGTGGCCGTATTAGTCTATATATGGCACCCACATTTCCAATCACGCTGCATTTATGTGCCAGGAATACGTTTGAACCCAAGGGTAGGGGAGTATAACAGGGGGAAACAGTTAGACAAGTGTGGTCCATGAGACCTTCATCGATCTTAGATGCAAATAAACAAATGATGCCCAGTAACGTGATAAAACGCGTTACTGACGGAGTTACTGGAAACTCCTCGACAGTCCATGCCGGTTTCGCCCTGCCTGGAGCTTGCTCAGCAGATACACAGTTCTCGTTAGCTTTATGTCTGCTTATGCGTAGCATGTTACTAGCAAGTACGTGTTTGCTTTGCAAAGGTCACAAACCACAAGTCGTATTTTTGAAATCGATTTTGTGGCACTGCTGCCATAAAAGCCGTAAACCTAGTAAGTCCGTCGTGTAGATGTTTTGTTCCACCATCGTTTGCTCCACCAAACACGAAATCCTGGGAATTGGAACAGCGGGCCGGATGTAGTACACGCATTTCCCCGTTCGGTCTAACCGTGACGGTGGCACCATCCCCAACGCCTACGTTGAACGACGTAACAACATTGTTTCCGTAGCCGGTTAGCTCTTTGAAAAGGGCCAACCACCTTAACTTCTTGCGTCACCACCACCCAAAAAAGTATGGGCAATCAGAAATGCGACCCCGTTTGACTAAACTGAGCGCGAATGACTCCAGCCGATCAATCACAGCTGCGTGATGGTGCGACAGGATTCTAACTTCAGGCAGGAGGCAGATACACGTGACAAAAAACTTTACAACGTCGACTCCTTTTCTCCCTCAACAACAAGTTTCACTGGAGTGAATTATCTTAACAATGCGACTATGAATCGTCAAACCACTTTCGAAATTTTCGTACCTGACAGATATTCTTCTCAGCAAGCTGCACTGATAATGTTGCAGAAGTCCTCAAATTGTGATAAATCATCACCAAAGGGAGTTCGAAGTAGTTGAGAAAACGGTGTGGACTACCCAGGAGGTATACCAAATGACTGACGTTTGGACCTCCGAGGGTGCCTTTATCAAGGAACGGATGACTGACATTGAAACATCACAAATCTGACTAGTGAGAGACTGCCAAAAGTGCTCTGATTGGCGTGAATGTTATGTGTGCCCTGCCGCTTGCGCGTGCGTATGAGCCAGGCAGACAATTGGAGGTTCGTATCAACGAACATGAACGCCATTCTAAGAAACGCGAGCAAACTGGACAAACTGGAGCGTGACTTGGCTATCATACTCCATGCTTAGAACCATCGGGTCAATTTTGATAAGATGCTGATAACAACTTTGGCATGCTGCAACAAAATGTCGACTTCTATGCACGGGGGTGCTGTTCTGAATCAGTTGCTATTCGCATCGTGCGTCAAAAGGTTTGATAGCCTTGGGTTATCGGTTACTTGATCTGGCCTAATTTACCATACAAGAGCGACTCAAACAGAAGGACCCACAAGCGCCACCACAAAACAGTTCCAAAGTCCTATGTGAAGCATTTACACATGTGCGTATGAAAGTTGCAGGCCACACATGATATGCACACCAATCACAACGCATGTGACAGTACCTTGCTAGTCCCATTAGTATTGTTTTGCTGCCAATGATTTGCTCTTTGATAAAAGTCACTCGTATTAGTCGAAACGTTCGTTGTTTAGTCACCAGCACTTTCACCATAGTTTTTAAATTGGCTCATCATTCAACTGTTCAGAAAACTGGTACATTCAGTACGATATTCTCAAACATTACCACCAAAAGCACATCAGTGTTCAACACCGATGCTTCGCGGCCGTGCAATCGAGTTGTTTAAAGGCCTTGTTGTTGTGAAGAAAAGAATAAAAGTGGATGGGGAAGGGACTTAGTGCTGGCCTATCGCAATCATTTCGAGGTGCCCGAGTCCAGAATTGAACCGTAGTACAGGCGTGACTGCATCAACGGACACCGGTGTTAAGGATAACTACGTCCATAACGTCCCTGACCAGACGGATTTTTTGATAGTATTGGGAAGAGGGTACACATTTTTGGATGTGGGAAGTATTGGGTTGAATGACGACTCCATCCAGATGGCTATCATTCGAACACTTACTAACACCAAGAATTACGGTGTTTGGGGGGAAGTGGGGTTAACTTCACTCATGCAACATGCATACCAATAAATTCACAAACTTTCAACTAAAGCTACAACCATATAGTCAAATACTGGATGCTGTGAATTCTACCTCATCGGATTTGATAGTCATTCTTTTGTAACACCTTTTCGGTGCCTAGCTGCCGAGAGGTTGTTGCCCGAAGTAAGCACGAGGGCTGGAATACTGTCAGGTCGCCCAAGCCTAGACGGGGAGAGTCAAAATGCAGATCGGGTTCGAACTTCCAGTCAGCAGCTTTGTTCTCTAACCACTGAGCCATCTCGATCTACAGGATATGACATATGCATCGCGTCTGAACTAAAGCAATAAATATGCTTGCTTTGCGCGCAGTACACTCTGTAGGTCGGTTGCACTGGGGAACGGTATGTATTTTATCATTCCTAGCGCAGAATTAACAGGAAAATATGAAAACCATGGGTGAAAAACTCGGTTGTGTTGGTAGCTGACATTTTCAGGGATGAGAACCCCGAGACGAAACACCTCTGACTGGAGACAATGACAGGTAGCGTCTGGTCACACAACCGGTGGCGCACACGAATTGAAGCCGTTGACCTCAAACCACTACTAGTAATATGGAGGTCACCCATGGTTACTTTTCGTTAATTAAACCTACCATGAATATCACGTCGTGTTTCTCCATTCGATGATCACTTATGGAAAAGATTGCTCTTAGCAAAGCCCTCATCCATAAGGGATTTCATCCGTCAATGATTTATGCAAACTTTTATAAGCCATAAGCGTGCGGATTCCTGCATTTGGATGGGTGTCTTGTTGGGGAGCAGTGACGCAGTGACAACCTATCCGGTGTCCGCGTCTTTGGACGCTGAACTGAACTGTCCTGGATTCTTGGGTGTTTTGGCGTGGCTTGACTGGAAAAGTGCCTCTGTGAGGCCACTAGCGCTGGGTGGCGGCACCAAGAGTGGAGTGCAGCTCCGCTGGGGCCTAAAATGATAATCAAACGAACGGACACTATTCTACTCCTGCAGCCAGTAGTCGCTCGCAGGACAATGAACGCAACCTATTGATTAGCTATTCACCCTATGAGGCTTTCATGCCCAATCCCGTCCCTCGTACGCTCCTGTCCTGAAGTTCTGACCTGGAGTGCACCCCTAAGCTGTGGGCGGGACTTTCGACGCCGGCGAGGATTTAGTCGTTTTCGGTACTTCAGATGGATTTTTTCCATTTGCCCGACGCGGAATTAAAATCTGCTGATGATTTCATCAGTCACGTATCCTCTAACTTCTCCATGAGCAAAGATGAATGGCGGCGGAAGTTTTGCGATGCATGTGTTGGCGGACAGGTGGATTCCGTCGTCTTCAAGGGTGTCCTAGATATTTTCCGTTATGATTGTTTTTCGGCGGATAGATTCCGAATGAAAAAAGCGAAAATGCTTTTTCTTACGAAGCTTTTCGAGTTTTTGATTGCTGGCGATTCTGGCATCCAGAATCTCGGCAGAAAACGTATGTTCTGATTACATATATCTTATGTATCCTTAGTGAAAGAATATGATTACTCAGCTCGTTGCAGTTTGGTTTGGACCATCAATTACTTTGCATATAGATGCCGAACTTGTGGCATCTCGCCCAGTATGTCTTTGTGTAGTTCTTGCTTCATGGCCGGCAACCATGTTGGGCATGATTTCAATAAGTTCAAGAGTCTCGCCGGTGGTGCGTGCGATTGTGGCGACTCAAACGTCATGCTCCCATCCGGGTAAGTATATAAGAATCATTCATACAGGAATAAGTATTCATGTGGGTTTATGAAGAATGCTACGCGTATAGTTTTGAAAAATTCATGTCAGGGCATCAGCCACATAGTAGCCATGGTTGACTCCGATCGATGTGCCACCTGGGCCGGAGTGGGTACTGAGTTGGCACGGGTTCCGTCTCACAAAAGAAGCCAACTCGACAATAGTTGATGCGCAATCATTCATAGTGGTTTTCTGACACCGTACATAGATCTTGTAGAAATCGCTCTTATCGCATCTCCATGATCCAAAACAGGCAGTTTGGAATTTGAGTACCGATTAAGAGAGTGGACAAATTTGCTTACCTGGCAGCTGTATCAGTCTTGGTGGTCTCGCAAAAGGTGATATTTCCACCCGGATCGGAAAAGCCAGAACAGCTTTTGGTAACCTTTGTCACCTGTGGCGTGGGCGTGGCATCAATTTGTCCATCAAAAGTCGAGCTTACAATGCTGCGGTGCGTTCCATATTAGTACACGGATCGGAAACCTGGCCGCTACACGCTGATGATATTTGACCATCGATATTTTCGGAATATTGCCCGAGTCCAGTGGGGCCACCGGATCAGTAATGCTGAAGTATGTCGAATGTTATTCTGAAGAAATAACTCTCCCACGGTAGGTGAGCAGACCACCACATAGGTTGTGCTTGCTTGGTCACATGCTTCGTATCCCAGTCGAATGCCTTCCTCAAAGGTGGAAACGAGCCAGAGGATGTCAAACAGTGACTTGGAGGGAAGCATAAAAGCCACTACCAGCAAACTCAGCCGCACTGGTCACTGTCGTCTTCCTGGATGGGAATCCCGAGACGGACCACATCAATGGTTAGAGACATTGTCAAACATGGACCAGTCGCGCCCTCAACGGCGTTCGTGCATCCAAGCTATTGCCTTCAATGCATAGCTCCTTTTCCACCCCCCCCCCACTTTACACCCGACTGACAGTGCTGGATTTATGCATCAATTTACCAGCTCGCGCGTGCAATGCGCAGCTACCTACCCCGCCCCCAATCATCGGTGAACGAAACTGTGGCAGCTACAACCAGTGTACGACGAGTACGCGGTTCTGCTGACTGACAATGATGTTGATGATGATGTGCGCGTCTTTAGGATTTACACTGATTACCTGAAATAGCATCGTGATTTTACGCTCACGAGGCGCCTTACAGCTGACAATGATGTTGATGATGATGTGCGCGTCTTTAGGATTTACACTGATTACCTGAAATAGCATCGTGATTTTACGCTCGAATACGAGGCGCCCATAGGAAGAAGTTTTACTGTACTCGTGTTTTATTGTGACTAACCTCTCTTAGTTCCGCGGCCAGTTCGCTTAGGCTTATTAGCATCTTTTCATTGTTTGGCTTCACACTTGGAAAAGCTCGAACTTAACCTGGAGCCAGACATGAGGCTTCCAGGGGTCAAGTAAACCGAGTGAAGTCTTCGGTCGTGTAGAGTTATCGCGTTCTAGTCTGTATTCCTTTTTCTCTGATTGTAGTGAGTCGCGGAGGCAACTGGATTTGCACTATTCACGTGCAAACAGCATGGGAACTGTTTCTTGTTGTCGTTTATTCCATGATAGAACACCCGGGACCCCACCTTTCTTGTGGGAGTGCGCTGTACTCCTTCTCGTGACAATGGAGGATGAAGCATCACCAAAATCTCACAAGCTACAGAATACTTGAAGCCATTCCAAATTTTCTCAGTGTCTGATTTGGAGGAAAACGAATGCGGTGACAGATGAGTCAGTATTTTGATACGGCTACTGGGTCACTTGCACTAATGAACCAGTTCACAGGCCGCGTTGGAAGTCTCGTAATACTCAGTCAGCCAGTCAGGTGTTGAGGGAATATTCGGACGCTCCACGCATCTCAGAAACAGCAAATCGATTGAAGTAGTTACTTCCAAGGTCCGTTTGATTGAAAAAATGCAGAAGCACAGACTGTGGTTAAGGCCGACGTTTCAGCAACCGAGGTTAAACTGTATCAAGGATATCTGACCAAAACTCAAAATCCGTTTCTAGTATACCCTAAAGCACCGCCACTAGAAACGCCATTGCAGCGAACAGACCACCATGGGGAAGACATCTGGTTCCGTTCCAGTAAAGTGGGAATATTGGGCTCGATAGAGGCAAACCGCCAATAGAAGGAACTATTTTCAGGAGCCTGTTGTGCTCGTGAACCAGTTTTGAGAAACCGACAAGCGAATATTCCATGGAGTCCACTTGGGGTAATATGTCAAATTACAACATTTGTGAAGGGCGAAACAACTAGACTTACCTCGATCTGGGGGGCTCTTAACGAATGTAGTAGACCGCCACCCGTTACATAACGGGTTGGTAAGCAGCTCTAGCTAAGTTTCGTTGACAGATGCACAGCCTGTCGTTTTACTTCCTAAGTTCTGTGAAGCTTTTCCGTTGCAGTGGTTACGTCATCTCCACGGAGGGCTGGTGCTCCCGGTAACTTGCGAAAACCTGTTACAACTACGGATATCTTGTAGAAGTCACTCCTCGAATATATGCTGACTGGACGAAGCCCACAAACCCGCACTTCCCGTTTGAGCCTGGAATGCAACTGGTTTTCTAGATGATAATTCCCCCAGCACTCGACAAATACACTCATTTGTACGCCAGTTTGGTCTTCACACCTGAATCTCTCGTCAGTGATATACTTCTACCTGCCTGATGAACTCCAAGGGGAGCCGAACCGGTCGTGGGATATCGACGAGTTTTCAGCGACCTTAAGAGTAGCGCGTGACGTGCCAGGATCGCGAATAAGCATTCTGGGATACTAGCGCCGCAGCAAACGTGGTCAGGCATGTCATCTGTAACCTGTTCGTTGGTGTGAAACAAAATGAGTGAAGATCCGTGACCACAAAAGTACAACGCCCTCGTGTGTGCGGCTGAGTTAACGATCGCCTATCAACTTTTGGCCTACGGTAGTGAAGCATCGGTGTTGGACACTGATGTCATGCGATCGATGATGATGATTATCTCAACGGAGGAGGGGTTCTTGTATCTATTAGAATGTTGCTGTTCGGCTACATTTCCGTCTTTAAGACAAAATAGAGTTGAGAGGACATTCTGCTGACTGTCGCAGTATTACCACTAAAGGACTAATCTGCACCAGCAAATCAAAATGTGACGCATACCGTGCTTTTGTCGCTTACGGTTTGATTATTAACCTACAACGATCACTTCTAACAGTCTCAAAGTAAGTTGAACGGAAAAATTTTACAACCCAAACCCATGAGGTAATATCAGTTCATGGTCAATAATCAGACAAGAGAGCTCACGTGTCAGTCTGTGAAAACAGTGGCGTGATTGGAACATGAAACAACACTTATCATGAACCTAATACATAAGGATGCTAACAATGCAGTTGGATTGTTCTAATTGTAAGAGTAGTCTCTTGGTTTTCCCAAAGCGCTTGTTTTTTTCAGTCTCGAGGTAAAAACTTTGGCGGGATTCTCTGAAAATCAAAAATACTGTAAATATTTCTTACTGAAATTAGCAACTGCTTTTCGGTGGAGCATGACATCCTGTACAAACCCATGTAACCCCTTTGCAAGTCTGCATCCCTGTGCAGATACTTTTAAGAGTAATAGATAAATTTATTAGTAAGGTCGACGTTTGGAACTTTGTACAACAAGTAAATCACTGGCCATCAGAACCAAATTATAAATGACGGAAGCGGGACGGGTTTGTAAGTGGAAAGCAGCACGGGGGGATGAACTGAGTTCAATAAGTGAATGAGTCAATCGTGTGGTAGGAGACGGGATCGATCATCTTGCGAAGAGAGCTCGTCATTCGTGCTCGGGTCTTGAGAGGTCTCCTCTCGCGTTATTGTCAGATGTGCAGTAGCGGTCCTCTTAGGCCTGCGTCTTTTGCGGCGAGGTTTAACAACCGACGGGACAGGGAGTGTATCAAACGGATGGGCGGTTGGGTCCCGACCATGAAGTGATTTAACATGTTGTTGGACGGAGCAGACCAAGTTCCGCAGCTCCGCATTCATCACTTTGTCGACCACCACTTGGGGCAAAAGTAGCTGGTGGAGAAAACACGAAACAGATGAATCGGAAAAAAAGTAATGACTGAGAACAGTAACGGAGCAACAGTGCGTATTCAATTTGACCTTGATAGTACTGTGATTGATGCGTGTTTGGTGAAGAAAGTCGACTTGCTAAAGCTCGAGGAGAGGATAAACCGGTGTTGCCTGACTTTGAAATACTGGGAAGTAGCCGATTTGGTTTTCTGACGAAAATACATGAGTTTTCACACTCCCCCCCCCCACATCTTATCCTATTCCATTTTTTCGATGTGGCTTAATCAAATATGATTTTTCTTTCTACGGCGCGCATTCATGTATGTTCATTCTATTGGCTCCCACGATTCTCACTAACCACACAACGCATTGTACATCTGCAATGAATGGACATGCGATCGAAAGATTACCGAAATCGAAAGACAAAAAGCACCACCACAAGGTTCCCCGTTTGAATAATAAAATCGAACGCAAACTTGGATAACATTCATCCCAGTGGAGTGTTTGCTAGTACATGCGAACCAGTGCGTCTGAGATAAGACTGGTAAATCAACAAAAGGCTTCTGGCATTAAACTACAAAAAAACAACGGGAGATGATTCGTGAAGCACTAATGACATCCCTGAGAAGTACTCAAACATACTGCACATTTAATGACACTTGTATCTGTATGACACAGTAACCAATTCTCCGATATGGTACTGGCAAAATCACATGAAGAACAGACAAACGTTTCGGTCCCCCAACTAGCGGCACACGCTTACCTTCAAATCGAAAGTTATGATCCAAACAAGTTTGCATCGACTCGGTTCTTGTGGAATGTTTTCCAATATGAGGGCGCTTATTGGTTGTACAGCCCTGTGGGTAGAAAGACACATTATGTATGGTGACCCAAGAACTCATGTTGACGAAACTAGTTCTAATGGGAAACACTACTATCATCCCTGAGTGTTGATGCTGAAGCTTCACTGTTTTACAGCCCCAGAATTTATCGTGAAAAACCATTAGGTAAAAGAGTGGACATGGGAGCGGTCTCGCGCTTGCCTTTGACAAGCAGTCTGAGGTGCCTACACTTCTATCACTGGCATGGATTCTTCAGTGTACCCCGAACTAAAACGGAGGCCCGGCCGGAAACAGAACTCAACTTGTTTTGGAATACGTGAAATTATCCACTTGATGAGGCTCACAAACTCCGTCCGTAGGTTGGCTAAACAACTTTCCGATCTATAGGAAAAGCCTGATAGTCGATGTTTGAAAGCGAACAAACTCGATGTCCAGAGTGAAACACAAGGAAGACCGCATGAAGATAAAAAGACTAAACCACAATAAGAAGCTACCGGAAGCCACGGTACAGCCACTTCCCAGGTTGGGCTGCTCCCATGGTGACAGCGAGGTTGGTATGATTTCAAACTCAGTCCCATTACTTGGGATAGGCTACTTCTCAAGAAGTGAAGACGGCCTGGTCATACAAACTTGAGGGTAGTTTGCGCATGTGTCGTATGACTATGCACAATTTGACTGATCACATACAAGTGGGACAGTTATTCACACCAATAAATGTCTAAGTAGACGTAAGGGGGCTTTTCAGAGAAAGGCTTCCAGAGTGCAACTGTTACTAATGGCCTCATAGTAAATAGCGTACGAAGCTTCTACGCGTAAAGAAACGCAGTAAATTCTTTACGGTTCAGGTTCCGAGGACTGAACCACAATAAAGGTACGGTTTGGCTCAAGCAGAATAGGCTGAATGAGGGGACTGGAGTATTCAGCAGAAATGCCAAGCAGAAAGAGGTCTGTCGCGGCAGCTTGAGCTAAAAGCAGTCCGTATTATAAACCTGTTTATTTTCTCTGCGTAAAATTACTGTAACAAGAGTCAACTACACTCAATAAAACAACTATCATCGTCACTAGACTGCGCTTTGTTTGCCTTTCCTGAGCGTTGATATTTCGAGTTAGTGAATCCAGTCCAAAATGCTTATTGTTGCACACAAACCGGCGTTCTCTCAAGCGATAGCGGGAGGAAATCTACAGCAGTACGCTTTAAAACTTGTTGACCATAAGAAAGCTAATTTAACCAGTTCCGGCATAGCGCGTTCCTCGGTGAGGTATTGCATACAGTTCTATTGTGAAGTTTCTACGAGATGCGGCGTCGGAACGCCCAACAATGGGCGGTAAAAATTCAGATGCATCAAAAGATTTGTGAAAACCAAAAGGCCCATGACGCCTCCATCGTAATCATCCTCAGCTGCAAAAACCGCGTGCTTGGTGTACACTGATTACAGCCGTCACAGTTTCGTTGGTGTCAGTTTAGTTCGGTACAGGTTTCCGGCTATGAATCGTGGACCAACTGCAATATTTGCCTCCATCAAAAATGGGACGGATACGGGGAACAGTCAAGCACTGTTGGTGGTGGCCTAACCCGTTTGTTGGTTTTGAACTGTTCTAGTTATCTGAAAAAGTTAGAAAGCGACAGATTGAAAAAGACGCTATGATGTGGGCACGTCATTGGTTGGGCCATACCTGTCATTAACAACTGGAAGAATTATTTTAGTCAGTCAGTCGACCACTTTAGAACGCACTCTACCAGTTACCTTGAGAATGAGCCTCCACTAGTGGTGACAGTGTGAGCATTTCGAATACCAACAATCGCTATGGACCTTGACACAGTGACGTATCGTCTAAATCTACAGTTCTTATTTTCAAATCCTATGAAAACCATTCGCTCAGAACCCGAACACTCAGCTTCTTATGGACGAACCAAATTAGTCATGTGGCTTACTACCACCAATGCACTACAACATTTGTTGGCGAAAACAAAAAGTAACGTGTATCCCCCATCACCACAGTTGGAGAAGAACTTTCTCCGTGTTGTAATCGGAATTCAGCAATATCTCGAAATCCTGACGCGTTTGCTGACACAATTCGCGGGACACGCTGGCGGAACACACAGAATGCAAACAGAGAATAACAATTACAACATTTACCTGACACAGTTCTTCATCGGTGGGCATTTGGGATGTTCCACGGAAGTGATACCTAAATAATAACATTCGTCATGTTCGCCCCAATGCCTGAGTAGGACGAAATCCCTAGAAAGGTGAACAAAAAGCCAAGAGATTGCCGTAAGTCCTTATTGTCCCATCCATGGTATTTGGGAAAAAATGACAAACACTATACTGACGGTGGACAATCAGCAGCAGGCGGATAGTTGCCTTGAAAAACGGAACAAAAATCACAATAGACGAATTCGAATTGAAATCTATCACGCGAATCTTGTTACACAACCGATAAAACATTTTCCCCCACCAATTTTGGAGTCAATCTAGAATCGCCGGACAGTCGAAGAGAGTGTCATAAGGAATGTGTGGAGACCGCACGGATCTAGTTGATAGCGGTGTAGGCTAAAATTCCACAGACTATCGTGCTCCATCACAAAAAAAACACGTGGGTTAACCCAACCCGCTACAAAAAAGCTACGCAAGAACAAAAATTCACAGGATGGAAAAAGCAACATGGACGTTACTAACAAGTATATTTACACAATATATAGGCGGTAAGGAGGAGGGTATTAACATCGACACTTAATGGTGGGAAGACCCGAACAAGGGTGTGTGACGTGCACCTCGGTCAGTAGTGCTCACTGCTCTGGACAGTGTGTTTCTATATAACCATATCGGAGTACGTTGTACTACACGATAGCAAAACTTACCTTGGAGATATTGTACCTCCATAAACGGAATGCAAGACATTGTGTACAATGTCGATGTTTTCGGAGGGAAACGATTGTAAGCACTGGAACAAAGATACAAGAAAGGAGTTTTAGAATGAACTTCCCTGGATGCATCTGCAAGTCGAAATGGTGGGACAAGGGGCAAGGTTAGTTCACGACAGCTGCGATAGAAATTGTAGTACTCCTGCAAACTCGAGAACAAAACAAAAGTGTTAATAGTGGACCAGTCATTGGGAAGGCATATTCACACGCACCTCTCTAATGTAGTCTTCCAGGATCTTCTGGAAACCCAGATTCTCTCGAAAGTGCATACAGTAGACGGAATTCCGCAGCCCCCACCGATCACACAACAGCCATTGAGCCTACGACATTTGGCTTTGATCAAATCGGGCGTGATGAATAAGCATAGGAAATTCCCAATCCTAGAAACATATCCAAAGTGCCCGTCGATGATCGGATAGAAGGCAATCGAGCAACAATTGCCGTGGACTCAACCCGTACATTTGTATCGTAAAAATAGGCTGAGGTAAGTACAAAACGTGTACTTTTCTGTTCGTCTTTTGGTTCTAGAGGTAACACTAGTAAGTGTTGTCCGGTTTTTGTCAACAATGCCAAAATAGTCGCCGAGGACTAGTTCACGTGAAGTGAATTCCCGCAATATTGCTGAAGAAAACAGTTCCACTAGTTAATGTACTCGATTGTTAATGTAACAAGGTTTTTTGCGGAAAAACAGTGTGCAGTTCAGCTAACCTTCCTCTGTTTCTGCGTCAATTTCCGTCAGCGAAATCAGTAGCATAACATCAGTGCTCAACACCAATGCTTCATGGGCAATTAAAAAGGTCTGACAAAAACAAAGCTCACCTCGATGTAGTCAATTGTAGGATTCCAGGAGGATGTTCCTTGCAGATTGTAGACGAGCTCATTGTGCACAACTCGGGGAGATGCGTCCAACGTCGCCTGTAAAACGGGGTATCGTGTAAAGAGAACAAGTGTAGCTACTGCTTGCAATGAAGGGGCCACGGCAATCGTTCAGGTAACCATTTCAATTGGAAGAAGCCTTGCAGAGTGACTAACGGAGCTCGGTAGAGAAGCACACGGCCGGATTCACTAAACTGGCGCTGGGGATACGTTCAGAAGGAAGCTATCATGGTGAGGATCTCTGGATGGGTTAAGATGGGCTTGTGAGAAAAACGACTTCATCAACATGCCATTCAACAACTCACGCTCTAGTCCAAGCAGCGGCTCAGACCAACTGTATATTCTGTGGTACAGCTCAGTACTGAGAAGGCAGTGTAAGCTATACTGTTCAAAACAAACAGGGGAATGCATCCGACTGAGACTAGTGATCTTATTTAAGTCTACAATGGACATTCAGAATTTCAAGGAATCAGCTGTATGTGAAGTTACGATCAGAGGCCTACTAAAATGGTCTAAGGCAAATAGCATATCACAGGAACAAGTTGATAGCGCGCGAGTATTTTTGTTGGCCTGACATTAGCCGTTCAAACTTGCAACGTTGTACACGAGAGGCAGATGCAAACATACTAGAAATACGAAGTCAAACAAATCCAGTTCAGTTTGATAGCCGTAAACCGTGCACACGGTTGTTCGGATCGCCAAGGCCTATGGCAACGGGTCAAGTTTACAATGCTCCGGTGCACTCCATATTACTATGTGGATCAGAAACCTGGCAACTGCGCGCTGAGGACGTCAAAAGACTTTAAGTGTTTGACCATCGATGTCTTCGGAGCATTGCCCGAATCTGGTGGGAACACCGAATCAGCAATTCTGAAGTTTGTCGAATGGTATTCGGGAGAAATAACTCACCCTCGATAAATGAACTGATCACACTGCATCGGTTGCGCTGGCTTGCCAACGTGCTGCGTATGCCAGTCGACCGACTTCCTCGAAGGGCTCTTTTCGCACAAGCACGCGAAGGGTGGAAGAGAGCCAGAGGCGGTCAGCGAAGTATGAAAGCCAACTGCGCTGGTCATTGTCGTCTTCCTGGATGGGGAACCCGAGACGGGATTTATGCACCAATTTATCAGCTCCCACCTGCAATGCGCAGCTACCTGCCCCCCCCCTTAAATCATCGGTGAACAAAACTGCGGCAGCTACAACCACTGTACGACGAGTACGCGGTTGTTACAGCTGACAATGATGATGATGATGGCAACGGGATGTGAGATAGACGGATACGGTAGGGATGCATCTATGGAAACGGCTAGGGATAGCAGAACATATAAAACAGGGTCACTGATTGCGTAACATCGACATATTGACGAGTACCATCGTCGATAACCCACCTCGCAGAAGACGCGCCATCCACAGGCCTCTAGTCCACTTGGAAACGGTGAGTGTAGAGCCGGTCCAGACAACCCGGTAATGAACCTTGTGTGCTGATACAAGTCCACACATGTGATATCAAGTAACTCAAAATACTTCAGGTGAACTGTGACCAGAATGACAAATGAGATAACCACCAAATAGGAAGGCAGCACACATTCAAATGGAATACACACTGATTGAGGATAACGGAGAACGGCTATCCAGAACAAGGTGAAACCCGCCTCCAAATGAATCTAAAGCGCAGCAATAAAACCTGCAGATTACTAATTTTCAACAAACATCAAACGGAATGTTGGCCGAAGCTAAGTGTCCGGTTAGATTCAATGCGACTGGAGACACGAAGCAAGCACTAACATAGTCCTACCTCCATACGGAACACCTTTGTTCTGTAGCCAGGTAGATGGGCGCTACGAACAGAGACCTCATCAGGAGTTGCCGGATCTTGTCCCCATGCTTCGAGCCCATGCAAGTACCAAACTTCAGAATGCAGCAATCCGGCTCGACTGAGCATGGCGGCGATCTGAAAAATATGAAGAAAGGAAAAGGTTTTTTGGTCAGGGTGTACAACTGCAAAAAAACAGATGAAATACCACGATACCCGGCTGTTCACTCCGTCAATACACTCGAAAAAACGTATACTTAGCTGGGATACAGTTAAAACAGCAGACAAAACCAGAGCAACTTATAGAACCCGGTAATGAACCTTGTGTGCTGATACAAGTCCACACATGTGATATCAAGTAACTCAAAATACTTCAGGTGAACTGTGACCAGAATGACAAATGAGATAACCACCAAATAGGAAGGCAGCACACATTCAAATGGAATACACACTGATTGAGGATAACGGAGAACGGCTATCCAGAACAAGGTGAAACCCGCCTCCAAATGAATCTAAAGCGCAGCAATAAAACCTGCAGATTACTAATTTTCAACAAACATCAAACGGAATGTTGGCCGAAGCTAAGTGTCCGGTTAGATTCAATGCGACTGGAGACACGAAGCAAGCACTAACATAGTCCTACCTCCATACGGAACACCTTTGTTCTGTAGCCAGGTAGATGGGCGCTACGAACAGAGACCTCATCAGGAGTTGCCGGATCTTGTCCCCATGCTTCGAGCCCATGCAAGTACCAAACTTCAGAATGCAGCAATCCGGCTCGACTGAGCATGGCGGCGATCTGAAAAATATGAAGAAAGGAAAAGGTTTTTTGGTCAGGGTGTACAACTGCAAAAAAACAGATGAAATACCACGATACCCGGCTGTTCACTCCGTCAATACACTCGAAAAAACGTATACTTAGCTGGGATACAGTTAAAACAGCAGACAAAACCAGAACAACTTATAGACCAAACAAACGCTAGTTGCAAGTCAGTTGATCAGTCAGTTTCCGGCCCAGTTCACATCGAAGAACTATTCGAAAGCAACAAGCAGGTCACGGTGAGCACAAGCTCTAAGGATTAAAAAGCCCTAGAAAGCATCAGTATGCAGAAAAGGATAAACGCTGCACAGAGAAGGATGAGATCACGTATAACTAATTATGGGTGAACGATTTCAAACAATCACTGCGACAGTTTACGACAGTTATTTTACCAAAAACAATCCAGACTGATAGCAATAATACGCTCAGTCTCTGTGAGGTTGTTCCATTGGTTAATTTTTAGTGGTAGACCAAGAGTGGTCCTGAATAATCATTGTTAGTAACACAAAAGACAAGATATCGCTCCTATATTAGATGATAGAAAGTGTGGTTAGAAGAAGTAACATTGGCGCTGTTAAGGCATTGTATTACAATTGTTACAATTGTATCGTATTGTATGGTATTGTATTGTATTGTATTACAATTGTCTGATAATTACAAGCGTCCCATTCTGAGTAGCAGTTATTATGGGGGGAAAGTAAACTAAAAGCAGAAAACACTTTCAGCATACTCCGTGAAACCAAACTGCTATTCGCAGGCATAGACAGAACAAAACCAAACAACAACCGCTTTGAAACTCACATCAACAGCGGCTTCGCGATCGACGACCATCTTAGGAGCCACGCGGCCAGCGATTGGTGAAAATAACGGGCCTATGGGGAAAGCGAGATAGAAAAGCAACAACGGCCTTGAGAAGGGGGGGTAAAAGTACATAGGCATATCGAATCAATGAAATTATAATGGATGTGCATAAAACGAGGCATGATAGCTAGGCTCTGCAGCGGTTATTGAAACCGAGTCGTTTTCACAGATGATCTAATGTGGTGGTCACAGAGTGGCACGGAACTTACCAACTGAGAACGTTTGAACAGTTGATTGAATGGTACGGAAGATCACGTTCGTATCAGAATGTCTCCAACTGTGTAAGGTCGCTCGCGTTCTAGTGACTCAGTGAAATTACTGACGCATGTTGCTGTAACCTATTAGCAACTTATCGCAGCTAGCGAAATCGGTCGAGTGCGTTGGAACAAGCTAACCGGCGCTTTAGGATGCTGTCATGAGACATATAAGTGCAATAAAGAAGACGAAAAAACTGACTGGACGGCATAAAAAAGGAGTTTGTGTTAATTCAGCGGAGACGTAAACATCGCGAGTGCAGTAGTTCGGCTTTTGCTGTAGAAAGGCGATGTTGGGTTACAGTCTTTGGCATGAACCCATTAATCTAGAAATAATTTCAATGCGAAGTTTCCTTTTACTGGATCCTGAGGACAAGCAAGCTATACACAGTAGCTTCTTTGTTATAGTTATGATTTATCTCAAAAGCATATTCAACCGTTCATGACCCTTTCGGTATACAAAGCTAGCATGCAGCCTGAAGAAAGCATGAAGCTAAGATACCGTTAGGACGAGAGAGATCGTTCAGCTGTAGCACTCTTTCGGTGCCTAGCTGCCATGCCACCCGAAGGAAGCACGAGGTCTGGGATACTGCCAGGTTGCCCAAGCCTAGAGAGGGGAAGTCGAGAGGCAAAGGTCGGGTTCGAACCACGGACCTTCCGGTCAGTAAATTCGCGCTCTAATTGGTCCATCTCATTCCCACCGTTAGGATGTCCGAGCCTGTACATGAGCGATCGTAAAAGACAATGTGGCGTTGGAACCGAGAACTTCCAGGTCGTAAGCTTGCTTCCTAAAGCTCTTCTGAAGAAGCGTCGAAGCCCATAGGGATGAAGCATGTTCTTGTTGTTTTCAACTGATTTTTCTGCACTACTTGCAGGGAGTTATTTTGGAAATAAAGGTTGACATCAAGTGCAGCAGTCACATAGCCTTTGGCTTAGACTGCACTCCAAACATCCACCGTTCCACCCTATGCGGTGAATGGCAAAGCTACTTCCAGTAGCCTAGCTATGACGGTCAATCTTTGAAGAAAAATATGTGCCAGGTAGTCCAGTGAAAATCTGTGCCCGGATAAGTGGATCAGAAACAAATTTGCATCTACGTCAAAAAATGTGCGTATCCGCCTGTCTGTTAGGACAACCTTTTGTCGAGTCTTATTCGCAGGTACAATTGCGATAATTGGCGGCTCGCGGAAGCCCCTACGTTTGGAACAATACCAATGATCTTCAACATAATATGCAGCACATAACCTGTCCCGAGGTTCCAATGCAAAGACAATAAACAAATTCTCCTTAGCTTTTTTTTTGGGGGGGGGACTAGGAAGTATGGGAAAATTGCACAAAAATCACACACAATCCACTAGAGGTTTCGCCCTATTTGAAATCCAGTAGACACCCAAATCCAAAACGCAAGAACTTATTAATTCCATTCGTAACGGAACCTCGAGGATGCTTGCGTGCTACACAGTATAGTGAAGAATAAGAACCATAAGAATAGTAATATTACACCAAATGCGAGGGACCATATCGAGCCTCCAATTATACACAGTAGATACCCCACCACAATTAGGACCGAAAGAGTCGTTCCGTGGGATAAACCATGAAACGGATAACTTTTGAGAGGCCAACCTCCCAGCTCCCAACGGAGAACGGGACGTGAAATTCGTACACGGGGATAACATTTTTTTCTCGCAAAGTTGGTCAACTAGCTTACGGCTTCCGGTGCACTCCTCACTGCGGGTCGATGGTTTTGATATACAAAGTGGACACGATACAGCAAAATCCGGACGAAAAAAATGACACCTGGCCAAAAGCGGAAGGACTAGGTAGCTGATATATCTAACAATACTACCTCGGGTAGATGGAAATTCCAAGACAGTGGAAAACGCCTAAAAAGATACAAGGTTTCGTAAAGCTGAACACCAATTAACAAACTAAGACGCTTTTACCGCGAGACCCACATAGATCTTGTCCATTATCACATTCTCCAATTGGAGCATTAACCTCTGAAGCCACATAGACATCATTGGGCGTACCTGTGTTGATCACGTTGCATATTGGCACCATTGTGACCGGTGATCCGTATATGAGCCTCGCGCAACACGGGAGGAATTAACACTTGCGGTAAGTCACTGGAGAATGATAGAGTTCGACATATTATGCAGAAAGAGGACACTCCTATCGTGCATTCAACCCAGCCATGTTTTCATTCCGCACTGTTACAAAATATGTTTGTCTCCAGTCCATGCATTTCTGAAGAACCCCATTCAATCTGTGTGACAGTTACTAGTCTCGAAAAGTGTTTGGTGAAAAAATATATACACTCAAGTCCTGCTGTGAGACCCACTCCGTGAGCCAAGCAAAAAATGTGACCGTTTAGAACACGTGATACAATTACTTGTATCCTTTTAGCAGTAGCATAGATAGTATGAGCGTAATGCAAAATCCACCATGAAACGTAACTACAGAAATTCTAAACCATGTGGCTGACCTGGTTCACTTTAACACGAAAGCACAACTTTGTGCTAGTGGAAGTGGCTGTTAGGCTGACCTAGACTGCGGAAAAGACTACGCCAACGATGTAGTGGAGAGCGATTTGGCTGGTGAACCTGGGGATCATCGGTTGTTAGAGTACCTAAACCACAGAGAAACACTATGAATTCTCGGTATGTCTGATGAATCTTGTGTAGAAATGAAGAGATAAAATAACCAACTCATCGCTACGAACCACTACGCTCCTTGCCAACGCACTGATGATTGGCGATGAAACGTTTGCAATCAAACTGTCCAGCTCAGCGAACAAACCAACGACCAACCGAAACACTTAATAAGTGACGAGCGCCGATAAACTACTTCATCTGACCTTTACGGGGTAGATGAAATGGTATATGGGTATGATATATATGATATATATGGTATATATGGCATGGTATATACGATATATATGTACATATATGATATATATGGCATATAGAGTCAGGAAATACGAATTACAGGTGAAAGCACTGCTACGTCCTCCACAGTATCTTCACAGTACCCCCTGGTTGATGAACAATTTTTGGGGCATATCCAGGGATGGGGTACATATGCGACAGGTGAAATACGGATGTTTTGCGAGACAGCAGCGTAGTGTTGACAGTGATGCTTCACAACCTCTGAACCACAAGTTTATTTAATTTTATCTAAAACCATCAAGTGAAAATGAGAGAATATTAGGCGGAGCAGTGGACCAGATACTGGCCTATCGCAAGTGTTCTGAGTTGCGTACACTTTCAAGCGCACAATCAGACAGTGTACAAAGAAACCGACAGCATAAGTATCACAGCCACCACCTTGCAAGGTCTTCGGTAAAGCGCAGGAGTGGTCTGTGGGCATCCATCCTGGGGGTCCTCAACAACACCTAAACTCTTTGTCATCTCTCTCACACTCAAGTCATGCGTTGTCCACCTCGCGGTTCGCGCCATGCCGGATAGTGAAGGATGTTTTCCGTGATTGAAGTAGCTACTGTCTACTTTAAAACTTGATCGATCTGATAATCTTTCAAACGATGACCTCTCGATCGGTCCAAACTTTCTCCCACTAACAACCGATCTCTCTTTTTCACATCATTCGATTCCCGAAGCGTCGAAATGATATAACTGGTGAAAAATAAGCAAAAAACGCCGTTTTAGAAAAGCGCGAGACCGATCGCAACCTGTGAGGTCGTGTCAGAATCATCATGCCAAATGGCGAACGAGCCTTGTTAGGGTAGCCTTTCATCGGCTTGTCTTGTCCACCACGACGTGTGCAACGACTTTCACAACCTCCCCCTTCAAAATGTGATTGCAAGTTTCATGGTACTCAACCTCAGTGGAAGTGGTAATGCGATTGTCGCACTACATATGGTTAGTTGCCTCCTGAATTCTTATTGGACAATTTGGCCAGGCTGTTGTTCCCATCTACTACATGAGATGAGTGCAATTTTGCCATCAAGTCCATAGGTGACCGAACTCCCAATATCAGATATTGGGCACAACCATATGTATACACTCTCGCAGGCACCAGTGCCACTTTCTGTGACCTGTCGACGGAGGAATGACAGCAGGCCCCTGGATGATAGTGAACGTATATTATACGCTGAGGTCGTTGTATCACTGAACACCATCTGAGGCTCAGAGGTCGCAAATTCCTGACTTGGTGGCATACCAAATTTGATGCGTTCTACCGTTTAATCTAATCACATCTACTATCGTTGGCCAGGACGATGACGATGGAAATAGTGTGTGGGTTTATAGTAGGAGCCGATGATTGCAAAACGGCCTTGCTCAGTTATGAACCTTAAAACGTTCCATTGTTGACAACTCGGTTGCGATTTCCGGTCAAACGGATGAATAGTTGTTTGTTACAATGGTAACCTAATCTAACCGATATAGTTTGCATGTAGCTCAGTTAGGTGCGCATGGATAAAGCACCGGGATGTGTGCTTCACTAACACCGACGCAGCCGAAACATACATCAGTTTGGAAAGGGTCAGCGGAGGTGACTCACAAGAAGAGCCAAACTCGTAATGGGCTGTCGACGAGTTTCCACCAGCTTCATGCGTCAACAAAAAGATTATCAGTTTGACAACGTTATGGAAGTTTTAGTTGATGTAGAAAATCCATCTTCATGGATGAACTGGAGACAAGCCCAAAGGCAACGAGAAAAACGGCAAAAAAGACCAGCGTAATTCGATCGACAGGCACGAATGCTGCCGATGATTGAGACGGAAAGGAGGGGATGCTGACGGTAAAAAGCCAAAAACTAAGTGACATTTGGGTGCAAACATGAATACTTACCTACAGGAGTAAAGTAGCCGGCCACACTGGTACTGTAAGTGGAAAACACACGTCGCGATCCCCGAAAGCCACTAAGAAGACTTTGCCTCTCATCCGGTTCTTCTAGTGCCAAACAGGAGGCCACTGTTGAGAATAGGGATATACAAAGCAATGGAGGATTAATGAAAGGATTGGAAATGCCGACTGGGTGGAATTTACCTGTACCGAAGCCATAAGCTCAGATGTCAAACTGTTTCACAAAGTGGCGACGGGAAACAGTATGGTTTCAATTAGAACATAAGGTTGACGGAAATCCGGGGACTGCACCTACCTGATGAGCCCCCAAAAGGGCGAAACCGGTCTTGGGCTGTCGAGGGATTTTCAGCAACCTTATGAGTAGTACATTGCAAAGAAAACAGTACCAGTTCTGTAGTGGATAATGAAAAGCTTCGGAAGACGAGACTGTCCAGTTCAATTGTATCAACAGTACGAATGAAAACGTAGAAAAGCACGGCTACCACAAAATGATAATCCTGCAAGTTAACTCACCGTGTGCAGCCGCTTTTTCTTGTGGAATCACACGGTAAATGAGAAAGCTCGTTTCAATCCATGTCAGAATCAAAGCTGCAATGATCAGCACGTAAGCCAGACCTATTGAGTTCTTTTTTGGCTGTTGGAACTGGCGTTATGGAGGGAAAGTTAGGGTGATTCGAACAGTGAGAAAGAAGACCACATAAAACCGTTCACACAACAAACGAATAAATGACAAAGTAACGTCAACCAAAAGACATACGCAAACAGAAAAAGTTTTACTCGAAGTTTGTTTCAGACACCTGGCTGGATTCAACCGAGGCGTCTGAATAGAGTATGATGCATTCAGTTACCTTAATTCACCAAACCAAAATCCGGATAACTCTTTATCAATAGGTTTGCCAGAACAATAATACGGCAGATTTACCAGCTACATTATTCCCATCTAAAAGAATGACATCAAAGAGGATTAACATGGTGCAGCTTCCTTGATACTTTTGGTGGAGGGCAGATGCCCATAATGTGAACATATCAAGAATTCCGAGACCAGGAGAAGACACATGGCAGATACATGGTCCGCCGTACATATCAGAAGCTAACATTGCGTGAAATAGGCCTGAGGGCTCGGAGCAAACGTCACTATAGACCCAAACATCAAATAACCGATTGATTATTGCTGACTGCCGCCAACTGTATGATATATACATGGTGACGTTGGTGTTGACTATATCCAACAGGCATCTACTGTGCGACCACTGTGAGAACCTAGTGAGAACCAACTGAACACACTCCATTGTCACGGCAACGTCGCATGGTAACCGAACTAGCAGAGACACGCGTTTCAATTGTGTAGAAACTTACATCAAAAACGAAACATTTGGCCACAAAGATAGCGGAATTAACACCGGTAACGCCCTGTAGAAACGAAGGAAAGATAAGCCGTTTAAGTATAGTTTGATATGAATGGTAAACAGCAAAAAGTGGCTCATCTGAACGAACATACTTTGAGGGCACAAGCGAATCCTGCGGCTCGTCACAGAGAGTTTGTGAATCCGTAGACAGTCTATAAACATTAAGTAGCCTCGTGGTTGGATTTTACGTTATTCATTCAATATCATCCCAGGGACTAGTGAAAGGAAGAAGGCCTTCGCTGCGGAGTTATTTATTCGGAAATGCCAACTAACCGGTTACAGACCATTGAACAGGGAAGCAAAACTCTAATTTGCATCTCATTTACAAAAACTGGACACCCATCTTCTTCCGAACGCGTCTTCTTGAACTTTCCTGGAGATTCATTGACTCCAATCATTCCTCGCTCAAATCCAAGCAAATGTTACAAAGTGACTCCACGAATTCCGTGACAGATCTCCCCTTTTCAAAAGACGCAAAGCGAAACTCCACGAACAACACATACTACTCGCGTGCCTCTCCATCAGTAGTATCACCGTTGCACCAGTAGGTTACTGACCGTGGGGTTTATCCTAATGCGACGAAAATGGTTGTAAGTGACAAGTCTACGACTGTGTCGAAGTTAATGCATTTGGTTGGTAGTGTGAGGAGATTTGGGATTTTTCTGGAGATCTCGTCCTGCAAGTGAAGCCAATCTATGCTGAAAAGCCGAGAAGCACTGTACAGCTGTTTCATCCTTATTGGGAATCATCAGCACTGCGCATCTCATGAAACTCCGAAGAGTCTCGAACCCACGACCTCCTGGCTAGTAGTTTGATCACTTAACCGTTCGGCCACGAGCGGCTGATCAGTAGTGTGATTCACTTGCACTTAGACAGGATATAGCGCCGCTCATCCTTCAATCACGGGATCCACATCACGCGGTCACACGTGTTGACTGGCTCCTCGAGCAACGACTTCTCATACAAAAGTTTCACCCATCGGGTGAAGTTTATTCTCCCACTGAGCTACTTATAAATTATTGATAGTGTGAGGAGATTTGGGATTTTTGTGGATATTTCGTCCTGTAAGTGAGGCCAATTTATGCTGAAACAGCTGTACAGTGCTCCTCGGCTTTTCAGCATAGATTGGCTTCACTTACAGGACGAAATCTCCACAAAGATGCACTTGGATTCATTGCCTTTGGAAACAACTGATTGACCGACAAAGGGAATCTCGCTTTTTGCACAAAACCACGTAATTTGAAACGGCCCAGGTGACAATTCACGCTGTAGCACAAAGGACGCCATACCAATGTATCAATGATCACGAAAGGAGGCTTTTGCGCATGGAGTTCTCTCATCGAGACACTATTATAAATCGACAATAATAATATGACTATCCCCAGGAAATCCGAAGCTAAAATGGCCAAAGACCTTTGCGTCACCTGTTGTGCAACATTAGGACGAGTGATCCTGGTGAAATAAAACCAAACTAAGGAATATCACGTCTCCCACAAGAGAGAAATACGACGTTTCGGATGAACAGAGCAACGTAGCTATCCAACGAGTTGATTTTGTGAGAGCCGGACTGGCCTTGTGCGAACGCCTTCCCCACAGTGAACCGCACTTTCGATTGTTACTTAAATACTGGTTCATTCAGCGGGGTACATAAACAAAAGCTGTTCAGACCCATGCGATCGAGCGGAAAACGACTGACTTCACCAAAGTATATTTTGCCAGCTTGTACCATCCGCCAACGTACACTGTATGTCTTACATCACATGCTCACGGGACCACATCGATAGGTCAAATCGACCTTGGAGTTCGTCCTGAGTTCCACACACACCTGGCCGTGGGTACATGGTCAGAAAGAATAGTATACTGTGGAATCAACCTTCTGTTTTCTCACTCTCAAACAGAAATCTGGCAACGCAGCTTCCTATGGTAAATTTTCACAAGTAAATTTGGAAAACTTAGGTTTTTTCGAGTCGTGGAAGCTCGGCTTCCTAAGCTACGTCAAGCCAAGCTACGTAAGGCTTTCCTCACCATGCGATTTTTCACCATGTGGATGTTTGGTATGAGGAATGACAGGAAAATGATAGAAACGCGAGTTTCAAATCCACTACTGACGATTGTTACCCGTGAGTAACTGGTCAGAGAGCAGTTGCCCTTGAATCAGTCATCATGATATCCTACTCGAAGTCCGGTCACAGAGAAAAAGAAGCACATCAAAACCCATCTGGAGCCATCGTATCTCTTAACTGACCATTTTTGGTTGATTCCATCAAATGTATGCTGTGAGCCCTAAGAGGAATGTGTCACAACCTTCGGATAGCAACAGCCGGGACAAATTTATCCCAGCAGTACTAACTATATTTTTCGTTCCATAAAATGGGGAATAGATTGTACACACAGACAAGTGATGTTGGACATCAACACCTACTACCGCATCCAGGTCCCTGGAGCGACAGCCTTCGGTTGATTTCACCAGCTGATGCGGCATAGGACGTTTCCGAAGATACTGAAACCAGAAATTCAGCATGAGAGGATGACACTTGAGAGTGGATGACAAACATCAACCTCCAGCTTACCCGGCGGATGCCATATCAACTGAACCGATGAGGAAGTTGGTCCTCGATCATGCCTGGCGATTCACATTACACTGGAGTGCTTGGAATTCTCGTTTCAAGATTTTCCAAGTACCCTTCTACGTCTCGACAAGCTTAGAGATATGATTCCATTGTTGTGAACTAGGTTGCACAAATAACGGACTACTTCCAACAATTAACTACTGAAGGCTAACGATGTAGTGCACCCTCCAGAGGACTCCGGGGACCGATCGGAGTCGCCCCCTTTTCGGAAGCTTTTTCTCTTGGAATCCACAAACACAGAACCATATAGTTTAAGCAAATACAGTAGGTGCCAAATACTAGTGACGAATCACCAAACCAATTCATTAGAAAGTAAGGTGTACATTATCAGCTGATGCGAGATGGTCTATAAACATGCAAGTTAGAATGCTGTGTTGCAAGCCAACTGACAAGGTGATCTCATGAAGATCGAAAACTCATATCCTCTAGAAAAAGAGACGGGTTTGCGCTGCGTCACCTTGAGGAAACGTTCAAACGAACCTCATATAAAGCAGATAAGGTGCTGCCTGAGCAAAAAGCAATGCTTGATAGGGTAACCTCTGTAAATCGAACAATACAAAGTTAACAAATTTTCGCACTTTGCATTTGGGAATGTGTTCCAGTGTCACCAGTAGGTTTAGTTGCATAACTACTGCTACAACTGAAAAGTGTCACCCTAAACTCACACCTGAACCGATCCTACGGCATTCCCTGACGTCCGCATCACACATTTCATCTAGACTAACCGTTACTGCTGAACGCTTGTAAAATTCCCATGTGCACGGGCAGTCAACAGCTGGACTTTTCATGGATCATCATAGTATAGCACACACAAGAACACGGCACAGCCCAAGTGACCAAGTCTTCCTCTCCTTAGGACCGTCTCTCTTCGAAGATAGCCCAACTCTCGTTTCCTTCTTGAAAGTACGGTAGCACTCACCTGAGGGGAAAAGACAGCACTGCACACCACACTACAACCCACAACCGCCCTTAATAACCAAACGTCAGGTTCATTGGACGGACTATCACGTGCGGGTTATGGACTAAACGAAAGCATCGCCTGACACTTCTCAGCCCCCCACAAAGATTCTGGCGCGACCTTGTGGAACATTCTGTGATGACCCTTTAAGTACGTTTGTAATAATCTTCTTTTGTCTCCATTAAGGGCTGTCCCAAGCTACCGTGGAACTTGATTTACCAAAGTGGGCTGTTGGCAGTTCGATTACTGAATTCAATTTCGACGATGACTCGCGAGGAACTTTCGAAAGTTCGTTCAAGAAATATGAGAACATGTTTGAAACCGACTCTTCTCAGTTTGGTAACACATAGAAAGTTCAACTGCTGCTGCGGAAACTGGGGTCGGTTGAACATGATCATAAATTCCACAAACTCCCTCGTGGTTTTGGTTTCGCAGATACTGTCAAGATCCTGGCCCAAATATTCGGTGAACAAAGTTCCTTGTTCCATATTCGTTGTCAGTGTGTGAAGATTACTGAAGATTTCGTCACGTCTGTCGGTGCGGTCAACAAAGAATGCGAGCGCTTCCAGCTCGGCACCATGACCGAGGATCAATTCAAATATCTCATCTTCATGATCGGTTTTCAATCGTCACATGATGCGGATGCTTGGACCCTGCTAGTCAAGCGAACTCAGTAGGATTCACGGTTGACGCTTCAGAAATTTACCACCGAATGCCAGCGTCTTATTAATCTCAAGGCTGACGCTGCAATGACTGGACATGCCCACTTCTCTCAGGCTGACATGGTATGCAAAATAACTCTCGAACGGCAATCAAATTCCAAAGTAACCCCAAGAAAACCGCCTACATCCTGTTGGCTTTGTGAAGAATGGCAGTATTCACGCCACTGTCCCTATCGAAACCACAGGTGCAGCAAGTGCAGTCACAAGGGCCACAAAAAAGAATGCTGCGGAGACAACTTCAGGAGATCGCGCAAACATCGACCCGAAAAAAGGACACACGCAAGGGCCGTGACCGCCACATTCACGATGAAACCCGGATGACGAAAATTCGTCACAGTGTGCATCAATCGCACATCGGTTAGCCTCCAACTTGATACAGGTGAAAGAAAGAAGGCCTTCGCTGCGGAGTTATTTATTCGGAAATGCCAACTGACCGGTTACAGACCATTGAACAAGGAAGCAAAACTCTAATCTGCATCTTAGTTACAAAACCTGGACATAGATCTTCACCCGAACGAGTCTTCCTGGAGATTCATTGCCTCCAACCATTCGTCGGTCAAATAAAAGCAAATGTTACAAAGTGGCCCCGCGAATTCCGCAACAGAATTCCATTTTTCAATCGACACAAAGCGAAATTCTACGAACAACACATACTATTCGCGTGCCTCCCGATCAGTGGTATCACCGTTACACAGGTACTGACCTAACTTTGATTTCAAAACGAACCTGTGATGTAATTGGAAGGGCACCAGTGGAACACACAAGGTGCACCCTTCGTAATGCGTCTGGTGGAAGCCTCAAACTGACCGGGAAGCTAAACTGCTCCGTAACATTCATGGATATTCAAGTCAATGGTGCTTGTTGCCTCATGAACTTTACAGGCCTTGATCTCTTAGGTCTGGATTGGATTAATGAGCTTCAACTCTTGGAGCAAACCCTCAAAGCTGCTTGTAATAAAACAACTGTAGGTGGCTACAATACGTTCACGAAGACACTACAGGTTGACGACTTTGTGTTCGCTACAGTTACAGCCAAACTGGAGACCAGTGGAAGCATACGCGACACAGCAGCTATTCAGCTCCCGGAGTTCGGCACCGGCAACATTCTCACTTCAGCCCTTTTGGCGAGTCCTGTCAGCAGTCTGCCGCGTTATACCCGCGGTCCGAACCCTTCAGTCTACAGTCATAGGTTCACGTGGATCGATACACTGCTATCGGGAAAGTCAAGAGAGAGTAGCCAGCAGACTAGACATCACAGCGGTCACACAGAGGCCAGAAACTGATATGAAGAATGCTGTCCGCGGTGGATGCAGTCGAACATTACGTCAAGCACGGGGTGCGAATCAGATCATAGGCGCGGCCAAGTCAAGAGAACCAATGTCAGACAACAGACTGTGACCCTGTAAGGAAAGCATGTCGCAGGGGACACCATACAGCCGTGACATACCTCCGAAATGGAGGTCATCAGATTCCAGGGACGACTTGACATGCAACAGCACCCCCATGAGTCGTCACAATTGAGTTCAAAGCAGTGGTCGGTTGAATAGCGTCCTCGAGGGGGAGGCGTCCGAACATCACGTCCATTGGGCGGATGTCAAGTGCGGGCTACGGACTAAACGGAAGCATGCTCTGATTAGCCAGAATATCACCCAATCTGGATCGAGCATCTTTAGCTCGAAGTTTCTTGTCCCCTCAAGGAAATTCTAGCACGACCTTGTGGAACATTCTGTGACGACCCTATAAATACGGTTGTGATAATCTTCTTTTGTCTCCATAAAGAGCTGTCCTAAGCTACCGTGTAATTTGATTTACCATAGTAGGCGGAACAGGAAATCCACAGCCGACAAATGCGTCGCACTACCGTCAGCATGCCAAAACAGTGACACAGCGACTGTACCAGATTGCGACTCTAACGACATAAAGCAGGAACCACGTGCTATTCAGCTCAGATTGCTATCATTGATACAAAGACGCGCATCATTTGTGTCCTTCATCCAGCTCAACAATAAAAAAAATGAGTTTTCTGTTAAGAGAATTCCCATAGCTAAACCTCAATTATGCATGCAACTCACGGCTGACCACCAGGGGGTTAAGACTAGGAAAGCTCCGTAGATTATTTCGATGACCAAGAAACGCCCGGCAGCCAGCATCTGGAAACAATAGAGGAAAGAAACAGAATTCTAGTCACTGTGAAAAACACTACTGCCTTATGTGAAAGACTATCAGATGTCTGGAGATATCTGTTCACGACAAGAGGAACCACATAAGCCAAGCCTGTGGCTAAATAGGCATCTTTAGGCCAGGCCTATCTACATCTGAGACTGTTTCAGAAGCCACTTTGTCACATCTTGGTGGCAATTTAAGAGTGCCGGTTCATATTTTGTTAGTTCAAAATTGCCAATTCATTGTGTAGTGCGGTGAGAAACAACTGAGAAATTCTTGGTTTAACTGCAATCACAAAGAGAAAGAAGCAAAATACCAGGAGGAAATAAAAACTACTGGAGTTGCACAGGCGTTGAGAATTTGGAAGGTCGAGTATGCACCTGTCTATTCTGAAGATGTAACGCTTAATCATCCGTGTTGTGAGAGAAACAGAGATCTAAAGAATGCGATCTTGTGAAGCAAACACTGAGGTTCAGTAGATGCACCAACGTCTGGTGTAGCCAAAAGACGAGCGAATACCGTACACACACCGTAACACATTCCATTGGCTGACGACGAGCAACGTTTACGCTACACATCGCGATTAACTTCGACAGAATGAAGCAAATAAGAAAATCTATAAAAAAATAAAGCTCGCTTCAGACACAGGCTTACACGATTGTGGTGATAAAATCGATTAGGAGTCATAAAATTGTTTGTGGGCCTCGCTGAATGTGGAAGCGAGGAGTAATCCAGAATGTACGTTGGACCTAGAGACTAAACTCCAAAGGAAAGCTGCCACCTTGACGTGATGGTCGGGCTTTAGTGCTGCAATGGTTCCACGGGGTAGAATAGCTCGAACTTCGCTCCACAAGGTGCGGCCATGCGAGAAAGGCCAGAGGTAAGCAGCCAGACGAAGAGCAGCGAATCCCCCTACCACGAATTACCGTAATACAAGGTGGTGTGGAGGTAATTCGTAATGTCCTCAGCGATGAATGTGAAAGCAGTAAGGCATTTCCTCCAGGCGACCAGCACGTCCATATTTGCGGGAGAATGATGCTGCTTTCCTCCGAGAAAGGACAGGTTAGAAAACGTTGGTCCCAAAAGCCATATCCCGACAGCCCGACAGTTGACAATAACCGCCTGCCAATCATCCAATACGATCGAAATATATTTGGAAACTACCAGTAACCCGGCTCCAAACACATCTGCTAAGCGCAGCAGGATCAAGAGTGAAATATGTCTGCCTTACTCCTTGCGCCCTCGAGCTAGGCCAGACCTTTCCAACCGAGTGGATAGGGTTACTTAGTCATTGACTGAATCAAAGGCTACGACCGAAGAACCCCAATAAAACCCTGCATCGTTCCACTGCCAGTCAAAGGCTCAAGGAAGGATACCTCAACCGAACCCTATTTATCGGCCTGGGCAGCCGGAAAGTATCATTCGTCTCTGCAGCTCTTCATTCACCGGTCCTCAGCCCCATCAACACGCCTTCTCTACTCATTGAATGATGCACAGCGGTCAATCCATCTACCCTAACCATTGTTCCGCGGCCGAACTATTGCCCAGCAAAATAAATGAAAACCAATCATTTACCAAACTCAAAAGATATGATCCAAGTTGCAGGTTTCAGTGTCCGTATTATCTGGGTAACAGACATCTCTTCCCAAAACTTAAGTTTCCTTTTCTGTCGATGCACGCCGTATCTCGGAAGCACGCATTCAAAAACACTTCGGTCACGCACCTCAAGCCGAACAAGCTCAGTCGTTCCGCGTTTCATTCTTCAGGTATTTGGTGATCCTTAAGCAACGGCTCGTAGAATCTCTAGTGTTGGAATTCCACTCATTCTCAGGGCTGGATCCCATTGAACAGTCGTAAACCGCTGGAAGGAGATAATCTGCGAAAAAAGACGGGACCGCAATCCATTCGCAAAATCGTCGTTTTGCGAGATGGGCGGAACATTTTAGGGAAAAGTTCGGCCAGCCTTCTTCAACACATTCTCTGGAAGTACCCAAGGAACCTCAATCAAACATCAATACCAACTCGACATCAACAGCAGAAATCCGGTGTGCGATATCATCCCTTCAACGCGACAAGGCACTAGGCCCGAATGGTATGCGCCCCGAACTTTTCAAAGGTAATAAAAACCTGGTAGAGCCTGAGGACCCTACCACAAAAGATCTGGGAGGAAAAATAGAACAGTGGAATGGAACTCCTGAACCATGATCCGAATCTTCAATGGGAGTGCCAGGTGGAAACCATCATGACATCAACCTGGTACCCGTGGCATCCAGACTGTTTGCTAGCGTTATTTTGTGAAGAGGCGGACTAATCAGAATCGAGCATCGACTAAGCTTTTGGACAGCGTCACTCTTTCAAACAACGTTTCTCGTTTTTCTTCATCTGAAGGTTGTTTTCGGCCGTGCGGATCCTCAGAAATTGAGGCGGTGTGTTGCGATGGAGGATGCCCCTTCAAAAGTTTTATCCCTTATGACAGCACTGTATGCGAACTTCTGTGGTCAAATATGGGTGTATAGCAAGCTCTCGCCTGACTTCTCCACGTAATATAATAATAGTCGTTCAGCTGTAACACTGTTCCCGTGCCTGGCTGCTATGCCACCTGAGGGAAACACGAAGGCTGAGATAATTCCCAAGCCCGGACAGGAATGACGAGATGTAGAGGTTGGGTTCGAACCGCGGATCTTCCGACCAATAAATTCCCGAGCTCGAGTTCCCCACGTCCATTGATGTAGCACAATGCTACCCTCTCTCACCATTCCCCTCCAAATTTGCTACTGACGTACCACTTGAAACTGCTGTGCCTTCCTAGCGACTCAAAATACTCCCGGGGCATCCGTTCACGGACATCGAGTATGAAGAATATATGGCTGTCCCTGCTTAGGACCCCTCAAAGATGCGATTCATTTGAAATAACCTGAATAATTCTGCCACACGGTTCGTTAAGCAATTCATACCTGCAAAGTGTAAATAAAGTACTGCCACAAGACTTGTTGGGACCGAATCCAACTCTCATGTCTACAGACCGGCCGTTCTATGATCTGGCAACGGAGTATGAAAAGGCTAACCAGTAAACCCAATCGGATGAATGAGTTCTGCCTCCCTATATGGGGACCCCGGGACTCGACTCGCCAACGGTTAACGAAACTGTCAGACATGGTTCGATACCGCAGTCAGTGACGTCCCTACGTCGAAGCGCAAACGAGAAGAAACTGATTACGCCATCGCTTCCAATACTTGGGTATGAAAAACCTCGTTTACCGGTGGACGAAAGAATAGCTGGGACCAACGTCCCCTTGGAAGATGGTTTACAACTGACAAACTGAACTGAGACCTATGGGATGGAAAAACGACCAACCCAACATAAACAACAGTCAAACCAGTCGCAATCATACTAGTTATACGCACCTGCCAGTCACAGGAGGTGTCGCAGACTTTGCTTATCACCCCCATCAGCCTTGCTCACGATGTTACACGAATACGTTAGGCAATATGTTCCCAAGCTCAACCAGTGAACAAAGTACACTATGGTGTTTAGGCTGGGTATACAAGATTGTACTGGCTCACAGCGATGCACACGATGGACGTGTAGTGCCCCGGATAGCGAACGATCAATGAATAAGCGGTTACACACTGTCAACTGTTACGAGAAGAGGTCGGTTGGTGCTTCTGGTTAGTTAAAATATTTGTGGTCAGGAAGGTGCGCCCACTGGGCCGTCGAAAACTGCAGCAAACAAGAACCTAGTTTCAGTGCCTAGTGCTAGTAGCTGTGAAACGAAAACATCACCATCCGTGTACGGTTTCACCCGTGAAATGCCTGACCGGCAATGCCTGTTGTGCGCTAATGGAATTATGCTACAGTGGACGGCTAATATTCGTTCCGATACCGTAGTGACAGCTAAGACAAATTGGCCTCCTGTTCTTACCCAACTGTCCAATTAAACTCACGGAGGAGTATCAAGTTAAAGAACTCCAACCAGCACCCATCGTTTCTAAGGCGACTACTCTGACTGGTCCTATCCTCGGTCGGTGTAGATGGGTTTTTATCGTGTATCCAAAATATTGTATACCACAGTCAGGAAAACCAACCAACTTGCCCCCATACTGAGTCAAACATTTGTGCGAAACGCGTAAACTGCCACACTATACACGACATCATGAGCAGATTGTCTATCGCTCGGGATTTTCGCGAGCCAAGAGATTTGGCTCGTTAAGTTTCCCTGACCTATTCCAGTCTGGTCGAATGGTATACCATACGCGATACGATACTGAAAGATCGCCGACAGCCATAACAGTTTTCGTCCTTCCTGGACCTAATCAGTTTGGTGCATTACCCGCGTTCCCGTTAACTTCAAATTCGAAGCGGACGCAGTTCATGAAGGACCTGATGAGCTTTATGAAGCGCGAAACCGGCTGTGGGTTGTCGAAGAATTTTTGATAACCTTATGAGTAGTGAGTGTTCCATCCGGAAATTATAGTGCGATATCTCCAAAGTCGTATCGATTGATGCGCGATTTTTGTGAAGCATATCACCAGCTGAACAAAATCACAAACGAGACGTCCGCTAGGGATTCAGTCGAGTCTTCCGTTAGAACCGAATTAGTGTGCAAACGAGTGTAGCTAGGGAATAAGTATTGCTTCTTTCATAATGCGTTTGAGGCGGTGACCGAGTCTCCAGTGTTCCTAGCTGGATTTGGGTAAAATCCTGTTTTTGTGCTCACGACAGTCATTTTCAGCCATTTTCTCGTTTCTGCCACGTTGGTTGCAATCTTTGTAGAGAATTTCATAGACGCGTTACGGTATGCGGATGTTGCTTTACAGTACTGATTAGTTTGGACACGGTCCGGATACCATAGCCAGTTAGAACTGCCCTAATTTGCACCGGACGTTTTAGCTCGGTAGACAGTTGGTAGTTTTCTGAAGGACACCTTGAACATCATTCGGTTTCTTACGATGAACTTGCCTTCAGAAACCTCCAATGACGAGGTAATTCCCCTTTCGTCAATGTTTCTATCTGGAAGCCGTGACATACTATACAACTAGTCCAGATAAAACGGTCTAATGTTCTGGACGATACTGTAATGAATCTCTGGACAAAGCAACCGCGTTAACCAGAAAGCTAATCAATACTCATGTGCCATTTCGTCGGGACTCATCAAGTTTACAGAATACAAACCCACCATGAAGACCACCCCAGTCACTGAGCAAATCAACAACTGTGGAGCTGGCGCCCCCAACAAATCCACACCAGGCGTTCGTATGGACAGATTAACAAGCGAACCGAATTGGACCCTTGGTTCATAATCCAATTTCAACTGGCGGACAGCATCTGTCAGTTTATATCATTTTACTATGGGACCAGAACACTCGCACCATGGTTTTGTTATTCTCCTATTTTTCCGTTTTCTGCTTTTTCAGTACAATCTGCCAGCTGCAATGGATTGGTCACCAGCCCCATTTTGTGTCTCATGCTGTGCAGCGCCAGTAATTGCTCAATCACGAGGCGCGTAAACGGATTTCCGATGAGTGATAATTTAAAGAAGCTACATAAAATCATATGCCTGTGCCACGTGCCAAGCCGCGCAATTTCGAATTCAGCGGTGTTTCGTTGACAAATCTCGAATAGCATGGAATTTGAAATTGTTACGTAACATGGTCAACAATGTACAACAATGTGTCGGGGCAAAATTTTCAGAGCTGCCTCTGCGTGATATGTCAGTCAACAACTCGCAAGCGGGACGGGAAACCGGTACAAGTTTCAAGAATAAAACAGTCAATTCGAATCCAAAATAAAACCAGTTTGTTCAACGAGAACACCGAGGTGCAAAAAGAACCAGAAAAACCCACCACTGTATCGAAAAGTGACGTTTTTATTGTATAGCCAACCACTTCTTCACGTAGAGCTTTGATGATGTCCCCATCAGAAAGGCTTTGCTGCGGATGGAATGAAATGAAGAACCGTGAATGGACATTAAAAAAAATTGCCTAGGCGAAAAAATTTGGCCTAAGTAGCGCATTTATTTCCTTTACGAGATCCAGCTGAAAATCTATTTCGGATAATGATCACACGAAACAAGGGTGGCAATTGTTCGTTTGAACCTTACCCCGCCAAACCTGACCGCAGTTAATTCACAAAATTTTCGTCGTATACTTTCAAAACTGTCAGGATGTTACCTATGGAAGGCTCTGCTCGTCCCACATCCATTGGTTAAACTGATTGGCGACAACTTTTAGCTAAGAACTCCTGTGATGGGATAAGCTATTTTAAGCAATGTCTGTGAACGTTGTCTCTGAACGTTGCTGTCTTGTCAGTGAAGCCAGGGTTTCTGGGCTTGTAGTCGAAACCGTAGTGGAAGTTGACTCAGGACTGTACTCAACTGAGATTGCAATGTAATGACTCGACCGATAAATATCAAATAGGGACAAAAAAGGCTAAAGCAGAGGCAACTTATAGGTAGAGACAAGGAATTCAAAACAAAAATGTGGACCAGAAAAGGAAAATGATGAGTACAACCTGCTAGGATGTCACTACCAGTTTTAGATTCTTTGCTTGAAGAGTGAACTCGGACAGACTGTGAGTGTATAATGAATGACCGCAATAAGATAAGAAGACTGGAACAGGAGCGTGTGAACGAGTATCGAGTAAACCAGAACGATTCAGTAATGGTCATAGGAAGGCGAATCGTGGTTCAACTTACCTGAACATATATTATCCATAAAATGAAACAAAGCAGGAGGTCAAAAAGCATCAGCAGTAGGAAAGTGCGCCGGACAGGAGAAGTTCTTTGTTCGTCTGGAAGGCCCTCGATGACTGAAGTTGAAGCGGCGATATTAAGACTATAAAGGCGAGCAATGAGAGGAAATCATGTTTCTCATGCTTATTCGAGTTGAAGATGACCTTCTGTACAAGAAAACTGAAATACATTAATCAATCATAGACCAATCAACAGGATATGACGTTTTTACACGCAGATGAAGAGAATTCATCCATGTAGCTCAGAAGGAGCGGTCCTGTGTAGGAGCTCCAAAAAGGGCGTAACTATTTAGGAAACCTTGTACCATGTGGTGGATCTCAAACAGCAACAGTCACAGTAGCTCCGCCGGTAAAAGTGCACCAAACTGATGAGCCACAACAAGGGGCACAAAAGGGACTATGGATTTGCTATTGGAGAGAAGAGTCGTGCTTTATGCATTGACCTTTGCCGAAATGACTCCAACAGGATTTCTATCTCGGGGTATGTTAATCCGTTTGAGTAAATGGCCGTCACATGCAGTGTTGCGCGGATTGGGTCCAAACAGATGTGCTGGTTGACCCAGTCGTATAAGGTACCATGTTTTCTAAAATTCTTTCGATCGTCACTGGTGGAAACACGAACGAAGAACCAGTGGCGTTTCGCCGCCACACAAGCATGTCAATTCATTTGAACGCAGTTTTATAATGAAAGAATGGGACGGATAGGTGGATCTATGACTGGCAAAACGCAAACATCCGAGGTGCCACGCAGACAGACTGAACCTCACCGTGCTGCAATTAGTGAAATTGAATTCACAGTCCAGTCGCTCCCTTTCCGCTTGCAGCTATGCAAAACTGGTGAGGTGGAGGACGCTGCTGTTGAACAATTCGAGGTGGGTATTGTGTTGGGCTATCCAGCCGAACGTCTTCGCTGAATTGGATTTGATATGTCTCTCCGCGATTCCTCTGCAGGAAAACCTCCAGGCAGAAAGGTATATCGCCTCCGTTTACTGTACTGTCTCAAAGGGCTGTGGTTCTGAATCTAACAAAGATGGTTTCCGTGAAGATCTAGATGTCCTAGACATTGCTGTGGTGGTTGGTGACAATGCGCAAGTAGGTGGGCTTGGCGCTGCTGAGGATTCATTGCGTGGTTGTCTTGGGTTAGACGAGAGATTCCTGGACAGCGAAAAACAGCAAGCACAGCTGTGTGCCGACCACATGCTGTTACTTTACCGAATGAACTTCCGAAGCGGTAGAAATATATCAACCATGCAGTGCCCAACAACGAGCCAACCACAAGCAATCAGTAGTAATTGGTGGCAAGGATACACTGCTGTATGCCACCTCCTCTGGAACCACCCATTTTTTGTTGCCTGAATTTTGTTACATCTTGTGGGTCTGCGCAGAGCAACCACACCTCGTTTGGTCAGTAAGACCCTCAATGCCCCAAAGCCGCCTCCTCAAACTCCCGCCTGTTGGTCCGATATCGGATGCTGCAATCACTGGAGAGAAATAACCACTGCTAAACTTGGTAAGAAAAATTTTACCTCAACAGCCACTTCGAATCTTCGGTCCCTGACAGAACTGCGGCTTTCCTGGAAGCCCGAAAACAGATCACCGCCTGTTGCAACCACAATCGATACTCCAAACGACTTTAGGGGAAATTGGGTGATCGCGCAAATCTGAAAATCCTGCGGATCCAGGAGGCTGAAGAAACGGACGAAGCGAAATACTAAAGATGTCCGCAGTTTGCTCCATTTTATTCGCTCGCAACCTTCTGAATCCCCTTGTCGGTGAAACTATTAGGAACCATAATGGCTCCTGCATTTAGCCAAATGAACGTTTGGACCGCTGAACAGGATGCTTCGAGTAACAATTCAATTGGCCAGCTGTTACATTCTATCCAAGGCATTGGTCTTTAATAGAAACAGGAACCAAAAACATGGAACCCCTCTCGGCCACGGAGGTGCCCGAGTGTACATCTCTCTTCAAAAGTCGTCGTGCTCCTGGTCCTCACAACCTTCGACCCACTCTGTTCAAGGACGGTGGTAGCCTATTTTCATCTATCTTATAGAAATCAGCCGCCTCGGAAAAATGGAGTCGGTCGATAATAGTACCCATACCCAAAACGGATACTCGCAGTGAATGTAGTAACCACAGGGGGGGTAAAAGGGCTTCTGGAGTCACTGATCCTTCGACGTTTTGAAGCGGCAGGCAAAACCCAAATCAGGAAGCATCAAGCGGGATTTCGAACTGATGGAAGCTGCGCCGACCGTATCATTACACTCCACCAAGTGTTAGAGCAACGCCACATGTACAGACAAACCATAATGCTGGTAGTACTTGCCTGAAGGGTGCGTTCGATTCTGTCGACCGATCAATGCTCTTAACTAAGTCTACTCAATATGGGATTCCCCAGAATTTTGTGAACATAATCCGGACCATATATTCACATACATCCGGATGTGCAAGAGTGCACGGGGTGATGGTGATCTCCGATAAAGACGTTCTCTCTCTCCATTCTTGTTCAACTTCGTCATCAATTAAATAATGAGGTGAAGTTAGAAAAAGCTGCCTTGGTCTTCCCGATTCGAGAATTAATCTGACCTCTAGCAAGTCCAACGGAACTTACACAAGTGCCCAGGCAGACAAGTTTACCTATCACGTCGACTGGCTCGTGACAAAGGAAAATTATCACAACTGTATGTTTATCAACTGTATGGTTATCACGGAATTTTCCATAATATAACGCGAGAAGCGCCGAGCTATAAATGCTCGATCCTGGCTGGACGGCAACTTAAAAGATCAGTGCATGTCTGCATTTGCTCCATAACCGGCTCGCGACACATCCGTCCAATCGACGTGACGTGCTGTTATTTAACGGAGCCAGCCTCCGGATAGAAACTGGACATGTGTAGCATATGGCCGGGCCATCTTGGCTTGTATTTCTGAGTGCGTCCTCTGAATGAAGTGATCTCCGCCTCACCAAAGACCCATTTCTTAATCGTCTCATAGCAACTTCGCTTATTCTAGCCAATTCTAGCTAGTCTCATATCCGCAACCCGCACTGGCCAGATCACACAGCCATACAACAATACAGTCCCTACTGCCATCTGATACAGACGTCTTGGAATCCAACGGTGTTTTTTTTTATGTCACAAGCAGCTCAAATTGGCAAACGTAAGTCTAGCGTTTGAAATTCGTGCGTAGTGTCAGAGCTACTGCAACGTCCAAGATGCATATAGTGTCCCACAAATTCCATTGTCATCTTAGAATACTTAGAGAGAGTTCAAATGCCGTGCCTCCCGCGACATGGCCTCTTATTCCTGTCTCGATCTCCACATGCGAAGATTTTAACCCTTTCCAACTTGAGTTGGTGTTCCTTTTGATCTTTGTGTGCTGAGACCAAGGATGGTGGAACATACCTTTTGGTGGCCGAACAGCGTTATTGAAGTCGCATTGGCAATTTACTTTCAGCTAGTCCAAAATAAACCTCGCTATAGCCGTTGCAGTTAGTTTGATATGTTCACAAAACTAAATCACTGCTGGGGTAGGTCCTTGTCCGGGACCAGCCGAGCAAAGACCAATGCCAGAGCAGAAGACTGAAGGTATCATCACGCCACAGAGTTCTCTAAATCTGTTGTTCGTTAAGCTGAAAAACATGGCCTATTTGCTGAGAATGGGACCGGGGCTCTGTTACAGCGTAGGAGTCTTCTTCCGACCCATTCAAGTCAACCCACTCTCACCGCCTTTCCTTGCGTCCTCTGGGCACCAGGGTTTGAAATTGCTTGACAAAAAGCGCAGTCGCTGAGTTGCTACATGACAGGAATGCTCACAGTCCAAAAAGGAACTGTTGACATTAGATAGCCCATTGGCTTTATCGGCGTGTGGACGCAGAAAACCATTCGAGTGGACCGAGGCATCATGATGAGGAACCACAATTCTGGTGCATACATTAACGCTTCTGCGTTGCCGTAAACATAAGGACCGGGCGTGTGTGTAAACACGCATTTGCTCACAGTGCCAAATTTCGAACCCCGTTTAGGTAATCTGGTCATCAAGATAAACCCACCGTTCGGATGTTATCTGATCACTTCCTTTTGGTTTTTATAAGTGGTCTGTGTCGTTTCCTATATCTTTCAAACCCTAGAGGTGTCCACAACGAAATGATCTGTAACCGTTAATGTGAAGGCCTTTTACCCCATTTTAACGGTAACGAGCCAAGCATAAGAGGTTTGGAAAGATAATGATTTGAAATTGATTACCTTTGCGTAAACTGCTCTCAGGCAAGGGTGGTGTTGTCTTCAGCATCGTCAGCGCAGACAGCAATATCAGAATTGTAACTGGTCCTTCACCGCTGCTCAACCACAGAAAATTGATCTTAAGAATCTCCATGACGGAGAGGGAAGAAAGTGGGAACCGAACGGGCTTGATGGCAACACAACACAAGTATTTTCAGAGATGCCTCCAAAAACCAAAGTAGTGTGGATGGATATGTAAGACAGGAACCCTGCCCATGTCAGTTGGTAGTCTTGCAACGTCTTCAGCCAAGCGTATGGAGAAGAAAATAGCTGAAGGGCCTCAGATTATCAACATACATGTGCCACGCCCTACAGCCATACAACACACTTCGTACTGTAGCCTGATACATGTGGTCTGTGAGAAACAATCGATGACATTTTCATCACAAATAAGTGTGAGTAAGGGTACGCAAAGTAGGCCTTCGTATCAAAGTATGAGTTCGAAGTCAGTGAATAAAGTGGGTCAGGAGTGTTGAATGTACTGTTAAAAAAGGCCTCCTAGAACAGGGTCATTTTCTTAAATTTGGTGCCTGAACAAAATAAAATGATGCCCTTCGCCCAAGAGCTCAAGATGGTTCAGTGGTTAAGGCGCGAACTTACTGACCAGAACGTCCGTAGTTTGAACCCAACCTCCGCATCTCGAATGTCTTGGGCTATCTGGCAGTATCTCGGCTCTTGTGCCTCCTTCGGGTGGCATGGTAGCTAGGCACTGCAAGGATGTTACGGTTGGACCACCTTGCCCAAGAAACCCCGCCAAAAAGCCAAAAGTAATAAGCCAGTGAGCGATCGCCCAGAGAAGGAGGCCACTCTCATGAAAGTCCGAATACTCCATTTCTTGGTAGGGAGTTACCTTCGGGGTACGTATATTCGCAGAAAACACTTTTAACCAAGAAAATAACTCAACAAAGGCATGCAGAATCAAAGCAGTGAGAGAACTACTGTTATGGACTCACTCTGACCGTCCAAACAACTGCCCAAACGGATAGTCACCAGGCCGGTTGGCTGAGGGTAGAAAATCGCTGTCTGAAAGTTCACAAACACAACAGTAGTATTAGTGGAGAAAGCGGGTAATGGAGTGCTTCATCAGAGACAACACTCATGTAGTAAAGCAGATTGTAAGCTGAGGTCTGTTGTGCAGCAATGACTGGGGTTCATACCACGTACAAAATCTCAAAAGAACACTTGCTAAGTCACTGCGCACGGCGTTAAGCTAATGTGCAGTGTTCGCGCGGCCAACGGTGTACTGTTAGGAGTGAAGCTAGGCTAAAGTAGGAACAATCTTGAAGCCACTCATAATGTAGTGAATGTAGGTCCATCGAGCCGTGTGTTCTCAAGCAAACCGTAAAAGCTATACAATGTTCTCCAACTATTTATAAGTGCTACTGGCTAGGAACCGTTCAGTTTAAACGATTATATGGTTACCAGAGCAACATTGCGGAGTTTATGAAATGACAACCAGTGGAGTGCCGCGTTACATCAACTTCGCCCATGCAACATAGTACGACTACATCGCATCCTACTGTGAGTAATGGAGAACATGTTCGTCAGACGCACAATAAGACATTCGGCCCTATAGAAATAGCTACACCGAAGAATTCGATTATCCACCATATTGGATCAAAGTATGAAAACCGAACCGAGCTTGTTCAATAGTTCACAAAGAGCAACGTGTCAGTCAACCAGGTATTCCCATCAATGGGCTAAAGAAGCCTGTCAAAAATAGGGCTTGACTTACTCAGACTCATCACGCTTCGACGTGGAACAGAACGAGTTAGCCCAATTGAAACATTCGATGAATCAACTTCCAAAAGTCCAGCTCGAGTTGGCGTACAGCGAGAATGTTAGGAACCCAAAGGAGGAATAACTGAGCACAGCATACAAAATTACGCCACAGAACTCCACTTTATTGCACCGGCGTCGGACAGACAACTAAAACAAAAAAGGAAAACGAGTGGACCGGCAGTCTGTAAAAACAGGAAGTAACCAAACCAAAGCCGATGATGTCTAACATTATTGAAGCATCGATAGGAGACTAACCACACTCCATAACATATTACATGTAGGTGACGGATTTCAGTGAATGTGCATTTGTATGGCCCAGTTGTAGCACAGTCAACGCCTAGCTGGCGTGCCGCCTGAACGAAGCATGAGGGCACAGATACTGCCAGATTGCCCAAGCCTAGATAGGTCGGATTCTAACAACGGACCCTCCGGTCAGTAATTCTGCACCTTAACCACTGAGCCATCTGTGTATTTGTGTACTGATGCACGAACACATTACCTCCACGCTACTTTGCCCAAATACTCCATCTTCATCATCGTGTACTCCAATCTTTCATGCACATTTAGGGTTTTGATCACAATACCTATAAGTGCCATTAGATCGGAAATAAGTTGAGACAAACGCAGCAGCACACAGACCTATTAAAAAATAAGGTTGGCCATAAGCCACGGAAGCCTATACTAATGCGTACCTGCTGAATATAAGGCTAAAAACAACAGATACGCAGAACTGTGCTATGTGACCTGCTGTGTGTATCGTAAATCACAACTTGCTGAATACGACCAACACAATGTCACTTCCTCGAGACCTAACTTCAGCGGTAAAATGATCGATATGATACCAAGCTCTCACTGTAGCTCCAAAAAGCATTAGTGTGACAAAATGAAACTGTGAATAGGTTGATAAAAGAAACGAAACAGAAGTTGCCGCAAGTGACGTCGAGGCTAGGCCATGCTTCCCAACTTCCGACACCTGCGTCGTTAGCAATGGAGCTCCTGCTAAGTTTCGTGTCGGATGGTCATAATGAAGCACGGGTACATCGCGTAGTTAAGGTACGGCTTCGACCAAATAAATTGATATTAAAATACAGTTGTTAAGCATACCTTGTTCCACACCTTTAGCTTCCGTTAGTTGACACATCACAAAGTTGGCTTTCTCTGCTGCCTCTTGATTTGTGTTGTTGTGGCAAAAAGGGTCACCAAGACAGTGCAATTCTACAGCCATTGGAAGGTCAAGCTTGTTTACTGGGTCACTTAAGTATCTGTCTGTCTGCTGAAATGGGATGCTTGCACTCAAAGACGTCCAAAGGAAACTCTCAAATTGTCGTCTAGACACGTCGTGTGGCAACTGACGCGGCACTGCCAACGAGCTTCACGTCGTGTTTAAACATGTATTTACAACACTCCCAGCTGAATCTAATCAAACACTGACCTTTAAGAGACTTCACTTATCACCCTATACGCCTGCCAAGCGGCATCCTCGACTGGATTGGAAGATGTTCTATAAAAAAGGAATTATGCATCCAGCCACAAACTCCTGGGGACTCTAAAAGACCCTGGCTTCTGATGCAGTATTATGTCATTTATGGAATCGAAACGCTTCTTGTAGTTCAAGCAATTGCTCCCATGCTTCAACTTCATGTTCTAGTCGTTCTAGTCGTTCACGTTCTAGTCGAGAAAACGTAACATAACACAATAGGCAAAACAACATCCCCTTGTGTAGGAACCCATGTAGTTTGGAGATAAGAAACGCAAAACGTTACATACATATCCATTCTATCTCATGAAATATTGCTATGACCTTCGAAATCATCGAAATGAGCTTCGTTGGCATGTAGCTTGAAACTTCGTTCAGTTATTCACCTTACTGTCGTTTGGGCGAGATGGCTCAAGTGGTTAGATCGCGAATTTACTGACAAGAAGGTCCGTGGTTCGAACCTGACCTCCGTCTCTCGACTTCCCCTGTCTAGGCCTGGGTAACCTGGCAGTATCTTAGCCCTCGTGCTTCCTTCGGGTGGCATGGCAGATAGGCACCGAAAGGGTGTTACAGCTGAAGTTTTTTCTCACTGTCGTTGTCAATGATGCGATGTCAGTCGGAGGGGAGACTCAATAGTCGGAAAGATCGAGCGTGTAATTACAGCAACTACGTTGACAGCACATCTGCTAATGGGGGCAAGATATTGCAATGAGTCTCGTTCTAGCCAGGAGCCCTCATCGAGCTCAGCCTCATAAAGGCAACAGGTACTTCTGTTGCTACTGTCTACGTTATCAGTTGCAGAAATCCCCCTTAGTACATGCTGGTCGTGAACTTTGGGCCCCACGGTCGTGTAGCTAGACTCACTCAACAAAGCGGAACCGTCAGCTAGCTTGGTCCGAGTTGGCTGAGATGCTATGACCACCGTTTACGACTGCCCGAGGAGGGGAACACGAGCCCGTCTGGTTAACGCACAACCACCAACCCATCGCCACGCTCCACCACGCCCCCTAACAAAGCACTGATGATGTCACCCCGATCGGTCATGAAACGTTTGCAATCAAATTGCCCAGCTCAGCGAACAAACCAACGAACATCTTAAGGTTACCTTTGTCTCTCTGCTCAAGATGCGCTTCGCATTTTCTCTCACCCTCGAGCTGTAAGGCCATCGCTTTGCGAATTTTCTTCTACCATTACTTTGCGCAAGCTATAACATGGGAGTGGAGTTCTTAGGTGTTCCGAGTCAAAGTCGTTAAGCATGGCAGCTAGTCGCAGTTCTCTCGCACATGTTGAGTAAACGCTGAATTGTGTAGTATACGCCGTAGACGGCTTGGAAACCCAGACATTCGATGCCATACTTCAAAGCTTACTGAAATAGCGCGACTGGGTGTTGAAGAGCAGGTATTGGGTCCCTCTCCTCTACCATTTTCAAATTTTTTTAGACAGCTGGGGTTTCTTCGAACGAATTCACATGGATATACAGCAATAAGGGTTGCAGCCTCAACCCTGAGGACGATGACGACTACACTGATACTTTGCTTATCGTGCGGTTAGAGAGGGAAGCAGGTGAATAAGGATCTCGAATTTGAGCCGAGGGATGCATATCGGTGGGTACCTGCCGTAGAGTGGTGATTTACATCGGAGGCAATGATGCTGTCCGTGAACTCTAGGCACGTGATCGATAAGTTAATCCTGCCTTCATTCCAAATTTCCGCCAACTGCGAAGCATCATCATCATCGACAGCATGACATCAGTGTTCAACACCGATGTTTCACTGTCGTAAAACCATGACTTATTTGAAAGCCTTATGGTAAAGAAACGAGTAGAGGGGAGGGACTTAGTGCTAGCTTAACACAATCATTCCGAGGTGCCTACACCTCCAGACATTCACTCAAACAATCTCGCCAAAAACTGACAACAAGAACGCCACTGACATCGGTTGACAGCCATATCTTGTAATGTTCCCAACCAGGCACAGTGAGGATCACGCGGTCCCCATCCTGGAAGGCGAGTAGCACCGACAGCACCCAAGCGTTTCGTGATCTCCTTCATACTCCTCTGCCAAGTCAAAGGTTGGCCACCTCTCTGTTTACGCCACTCTGAATTGGACATGGAAAACAGCACTCTCTTCGGCAAACGATGGTTCGGCATACGTAACACATGTCCCAACCAACGCAGCTTCTGGTGCTGGACACATTCTTCAATGGAAGTACCCGTTACACAACCGAAAACGCGCTTTCTAACTGCCTCATTACGGATTCGCCGACACCAATTCACACGAGCTATGGTTCTGAGACAATGATTGTCGAACACCTGAAGACGTCTCAGTTCCGCTGCTCGAATAGGCCAATTCTCACAGCCATACAACAAAACAGCCCGTACTGTAGCTTGATACACACGTCCCTTCAGATTCAGGGATAAACCATTCTGACGCCATAGGTATC